GAATCAATGGGAGTGGCTGTCTATCAATACGTCTTTGATATCTGGCTGGGCGTTATTGGTTTGGAAATGTGTGGCGAGAAAATGTGAAAATGACATTGAGTACTTTAACCGATCACATCTAAATGTGTGCATATTGTCACGGGATTTTTACACATTCGTAATACTGTAAATAGCCCAGTAAAACGTCGACGTAAAGACTAAGTACAAACCATAATGGAATCAAAGATGCTCGATGTATGATTTATCAAATAAGTTAATTCCACTTTACTTATTACATTGTATCATTTATGTCACTGTACAAGAATACGTATGGCACTTGAATGCCTTTTAACGTAAGTTTAAAAGTGTATGCTTCTTTTAACCTGCAGTTAATGACAGAGTGGTAAAAGAATTTATGTTCCATGGCTGTTTATGAGCATGTATCCAGGAAACAGTTAATGCATATTAAGCGAGCTATAAATGTACAACGGCGGCCAAACGCATGTATTCGTCACGCTACTCACGCTCATATCTGTGAGTTCTGGGGTATAAACACGCATTAGTTACCTTGAAGTGTTCATTGCCCGAAAGAAAAAGGAAATTAGGAGAATGTGAATGTGGGCGTACCCTAAGCTGTTAATGAGGTACAACTAATGGAAAATGAACTTGTAATTGTACATTTGTAGAAGTAAATCGGTCCCGGCTCCAGCGTTTATGAGACCTACGGTAATAGCATAGTGCCTATATGGGAAACTCACTAAAAAAACTACATACGACGGATTGTATGGGAGGTGTGATAGGCGTAGTGTATGCTGACTGCTGTGGAAGTGAAGTTCTGGGAACAGATGTTCCGGGAAGCTGAAGAGATCAACACAACAGTCAACAGTAGACGGCGCCACAGCAACTGATCCTAAATGCGTCAGCAGCGTGTCATATTCAGGAATACTGCTGAACCTAGACGTCAGCTCCATAATACATACTGTGTGTAGAGTGAATGGGTAGAGTTTGAAATCTCCTCTGTTGATTGATCAGCATATTTCTTTAGCTAGGATCACTTAAAAACCCAATATTCAAGGACGGTAGGCCAAGTTTCGAACTTTTGAAGTTTTTTGAGTTCCTCTTTATTAACTCTCTCACCCTCACCGGAATTTTTAACATTCTGGATGATCTCGTCTACACTCCACAGCTTTACGCAATGACTTTTATAAAAACCATAATTCTTTTCCATGTCACCACACACTCTAGTGCTAGAGGTGTGTTCCCGTTCTGGGAAGTCTAAAACTTGAGTTCTCAACTCGCCAGACTGAAGGCAATCGAACGGCGTCTGGGAACGCGCAGACCATGTAACTGTTCGAAGGACCAGTTCTTGCAATCTCCACTGCAACCATTACAAATTTATGAGCCGAGGGCAAAAACCGGATCCGGTCCGGACAAACCGCTTCCACCCTTTTACCACCGTCCTGGACCAGTCGGCCTCCGCCCCCGAACCACCTGCTGGGCCGAGGACATTCACAGCGCAGCGAGGGCCTGAGAGGAGGTTAAATATATGCGGTGGAATAGTTCATAAAGTCATTTAATTTCGTTATTGAAAACCTGTTGTCTTGCTGAGAGAAGGATGTTCATGGTGCAGACTGAAAAGAGAGTATATTGTAGCCTATTTTCGATCATCCAGGGACAGTGGATGACGACTTAAAACTGTCGTTTTCAAGCTTACTGATTTGATAGTACCATTCACTAATTGTATACTGAAGTAGACATCCCAGTATGGACCAGCTGTCACCATTAGTTTGACTAAAAACTCTGTGTATTTAACAGAAATCAGTGATTTAGATCACTGCAGTCTGTCGGAGGCTCACATCAACTACGACGATTTTGAGTAAAAGACTGACGACTTTAACATGAGGATGGAATGCCTAATTATTGGTCGAAGGGATTGAAAATACCTAACTAGATACTGGGCCAGCTGTTCTTGATTGGAAGAAGTGATCTTGTCTAAAGCGTCAGCTGCTTATACTGCAGTAACGAAACTTTCCAATAATTCATTCCACACGCATAATTGATTTTTTTCCTTTCGGAAAAGTGTGTTGGCGTATTTGGGCCATTTGTTTATAAGTTATAAGCTATATATGATAAGGGGCATAATTACGCAATTTTCTATGGTTAATTTATGAGGGACATACGGTGTATGTTGAACATATCCAAAAACAAACCCTCCAAATCTCTTACTTCTCATTGTGGTGGTAAATACAAACATATTTTTATTCAGACACCCAAGTTATGTGTCTATTTCATCACACCCTCAATAGCTTTATCACTGACACAATCACGAAATCAATTCATAAATCACCAAATTTCACCTATCTCGCCGGTGATTGGCCGGATTGTGGAGTTAAGGTCGGTTCTTATCAATTGACGTCATTATCAGTTTGATAAGACGATAAGGCAAAGGACAGTTAAAGGGCGATCGTCTATAGCACTTGATAAGATATACTAATCTCTACTCAATAACTGTTAAGATCTTATCGAGACAAACAATTTAATTAATTTAAATTGAGATATATGAATTATGTTTGCCTCGGCAATGCCATAGAACCTCGTCGTTAACGGAAATAATGCATCAGACAATGAAATAGTAAATGTACTGTCAAGGACAAAGCCTATATTAAATAGTTCAGTATTACACGATTACCCCGGCTTTTGATAGTTACAGCTCCCTCAGTAATTTTTTAAAAATACACTTGTACTTCATTGTACAAAACCTCACTAGTTTATATAGTTTACTCGTATTAGTACGAATAAATTGTTTTTGTTTAGTGTGTCCAAACCATAATAAGTTGTTGTAAGTTATCATGATAAAGCGTTTATCTGGTGGCGCAAATTTACCCAGCTTTACTGCATTACAACCCTCCCCGGACTTAAGGTGCATTGTCCCTGAAGCGACTCTTGCGATAGTAGCTGAGCGATTGTAGCTCAGCGATAGTAGCTCCGCGATAGTAGCTAACCATGTCATTGTCCCTGAAGCGATTGTTCTAGAGCGATTCTGTTCAGTTTGCTGACTTCCGAGTGAATTGGTGCCATAAGTCCAAGGCAGAAGAAGTTGTTCCTTAAATACCTATTGGTTGAGGAAGTTGACGACGAAGAAGTGATAGCATTTTATTTGCACCACGAGTTTGTACACACGACATTTTTGTAAAAATACAAAGAATGCAAAACTGCTTTTTACCGCTGTAGAAGATGAAAAGTTGTTAGAAGCAATAGAACCTCATTCTGCCATTTACGACTTGAAGAACAGTCTGTATAAAGATCAGCGTGCTAAAGATAATATATGGGTCGTGATAGCATCAGAAGTGGGAAGATCAGGTATGTAGGTACATAATTAATCACAACTATTATAAATTATAAATAAAAATACTTTTTAAAAATGCCACGTTTTTAAACGCACTAAAAAGTAAAAATAATTTATAATTATGTGGAGAAAATAAATACTTGTAAGATTTAAAACGAAAAACGTGGCAATAGATATTAGATAATGGTTGCATGCAATAGATAATAATAGTTCAATAGGTGAAGTTAATTGTAAATTGGTATTCGCCCCACGTTTTTGTTGTAAATCTTACAAGTATTTATGCTCTTCACATATTTATACATTATTTTGTTGAATTTTTTAAAAGTAGTTTTATTTATAATTTATAATAGTAGTAATTAATTATGTACATACAGTACCTGATCTTCCCACGTCTGATGCTATCACGACCCATATATTATCTTTAGCACGCTGATCTTTATACAGACTGTTTTTCAAGTCGTAAATGGCAGAATGCGGTGCTATTGCTTCTATAAGCAATACAGCTTTTCATCTTCTTCAGCGGTAAAAAGCAGTTTTGCATTCTTTGAAGATATTTAGATTACGACCAAAACAAGTCTACACACAACACAAATCGCTCAGCGACTGCGACTCTGACTGCCCTCAGAGCAGACCCGCCACAGTCGCTATGTTCAGCCGCTAGCCGCTCCAGTCGCAGTCGCGTCAAGGACAATGGTCCCATTTGAAACAACGCTAACCAGTGCCCAGCTACTATCGCTGAGCTACTATCGCTCAGCTACTATCGCAAGAGTCGCTTCAGGGACAATGCACCTTTAAAATGTAAAAGTCGAAAGACATTTTCGGGGAAAACGTTTTGTCGCTGGGGAAATCGTCGTATGTGCTTTTCTTCTGTCCTTATCTGGGTCGTTTTATGTCAAATGTATCGTATTCAATTTCATTTAAAGGGTTAAAAATCGTTATGACGCGACGTGGGATAGAAATGTTTTATTTAAAATTATGCTTCTGAATCAGATACTATAAATCTCTTTTTATTTATGTTAAATGAATAACTTTTTAGGATAAGAAAAGCTAAATAGACGCTACAGTGTGTGGTTACTCATCTGTTTAATATAGAGCACCAAAGGTATACAAATGAAAATGTTACCCACTTACACTCCCATGTTAAATTGTCACGGGATTTAGCAATTCATGGTAAACTTAACCTTTTACAGTAATATGGGGTATGTTTTATCTATGATACAGTATAAGTATGGATCGCTGCTAATACATAATCGTTATTGTTGATCGCTACACAAAACAACTGTTATATTCGATCAAAAGGTGTTTTATGGATGTTTATTTCAGGTAAGTGTCAGTTCACATTACAGTATCTACTAACTTTTTAACATCAGTGTTACTGTATTTTAATAACACTATTTATTTTGTTATTTCTTTCAGTTATTGCAGAAGTCAGGTTAGGCTACTGTTCCAGAACTCTGTATTTTAACCCAGGCACTCTCCTGGACCTGGAGAAAAACAAAGGCCGCGATTCATCGGGTAGCGGACAAAGAACAGGTCCTATATTTACGTGCGAGGCGAGGGTGGGATGGGAAGGAAGGGTGCGCGGAGTCGCCGTGTAGTGTGTCGTCGCGCGCAGACAGTGGAGGGGGACATTTCCCTCCCCTCCGCGCCACATTTCCCTCTCCAACTGTTCTCGCCAGCGCGGTTGCGGTCTCAGTCGGTGAAGCGAAGGAGCAGTGCTCAGTTTAGTGAGTTTCGAGGTCGCAATGTCTGCGCTAGTGAAATGTTAATGTTTTCTCCGCGAGTGTTGTGTTAGTGTTTCGTATTTTGTTCAGTGGTTAAACTCTAAATGGTGAAGATGTCTATGGTGCAGATAGGCAAGCGTCAGCACTGCTACTTGTGCGACTTGCCTCGCATGCCGTGGGCCATGCTGCACGATTTCAGCGAAATGGTGTGTCGCGGCTGTGTCAACTACGAGGGTGCGGACAGGATAGAGTTGGTGTTGGAAACTGCTAGACAGATGAAGCGAGCGCACGGCTTCCAGGAGGGTAGGTCGGGAAGTAGCAGTACGTCTTCGGCGTCGGCCAATTCCAACCACCATCACTCGTCGGCAAGCAAGAGTTCCTCGTTTCACAGGTCCGGCAGTACAGGAGGGTCGTCCCACGACGCCGCGCATCAGAACGGAGTGGCGAGTCTGGAAGTGGTGGGTTTACCTCCTGCGGCTCACATCTCTGGAAGGCAAGCACAACAGCCTCCTCCAGGAGCGGGGACTCTTCACGCAGGGTACGCTACTCTCCATCACTCCAGGACCGCCGGACTCTTGGCGGAGTACGCCGCCCCACCGCCTCCTAGAGGGTCGTCCTCCCAGGGTCTACCCAGAGGCATCCAGGGGTCTGAGGAGCACGAGATGGTGACAGGGATGTCCCGCACGGCGGTACGCATGCCGTCAGCAGCACACATGGCTCATCAGCTGCCGCAGCAACACCAGGGTAGACCGAACTCTCTACCTCCACAATCCATCGGTCTGAAGAGAGGACTGTCTACATCAGCAGATGACGACGACCACCACCACCACGGACACGCCAATGGCGAGGGTGGGCCCTCCAAGAGGATGGTCGTGGACGAAGCAGGCCACTCTGCCAGGCCGCCCCTGACCCGAGGTGATTCCCTACCCGCTGTTAGCTTGGCCATACCTTTTGAACGTACTTTTAAAGCCGAGCCCAAACACCCCATCAGAGCTCCGTCCTTTGACACTGCGACTTCGTTCAAACCTAACGGTAAGTAGTTAACTTACGAGGGAGGAGTTGAAATAATCCCCTGTAACATTAACCTACGATAGGTGCTGGTACTGCAAACCTGCAATAACATTCCAAGTTTATAATTTCTAATCTGACCACCAATAATACAATGTAGACGCTAAAACAATAAACAAAACATATCCACTCATTTACATCCATCATCCACGATCGTCGATCACCACAAGGAAAGCAGATAAAATAATAATCATAGTTTCGTGTCGTAATATTAGCCTATAGTAGCCTAAGCTGGGAAGATGTTACTCAAGCTAAGGACCGCCCTTTCAATAAATTAATTTTCTGCCACAATAAGATAATGTAGGTATATACAGGGCGCAGTAAATAAAATGAAACTGTTTTTCAGATCGGTGTATGTGTCGTAATAGGTATAGTGAACATTTCCATTCACTACACGGAAGTGCTTATCACGGATTTTATAATTTATTTAAAAACCAACCCAGTAATTTAGGCATAGAGCTAATGTTTAGATAATGTGATTTTTGGTCTCAAAAAATCGTGTAGCCTAAATCATTTGGGATTCGTAGCATCTGTAGGTCGTTCTAAATCTTTAGCAACTTCTATTTACTCTGCAAGGCCACCATACACATTCTACGGCTAGGCTAGGTTTGTGTATTGTACAGTATTATGTCATGATACAGGGGCCCTGTTTACGTAGCAGGATGTGATCGATAAGCCCCCCTCCCAAACGTAACATGGCCGCCAAGTGACGTCACACCCCCTCCCCTCCACGCAGGCGTCTCGTCTTGGACCAAATCCTCAATCCTGGTCTCCTGTTACACAAACCCGCTCTTGACGTGACGTGGCCGATGTTTGTAAATAAAATCTGAAAAAATGTGAAGGCTATCCTGGAAAAATTCTGTCTGGCTTTTTGATTTATCAAAAAGCCAGACGAAGATTTATCTTATTCGGGGAAGAACTATAATCTAGTCAATTACTAGTCCACAATACAGTACAGGCAACTTACTACGACATTGTTGATTATCATGATTCGTGGTAGCCAAACATTTGATTAGTCTGTATAAGCTAGACCCCTAAGAAGTTTACCAAAGAACCTTTTGTTGCCACGGTCAAATCAAAATTCAAAATACTCCCTTTAGGCTGATTTATTAGACATGTCCATCAATCGGCTGTGTTGTGTAATTGGCTGGTTTATGGATGAATTAAAATTCATCGCATGATTCATTTGTAGAACCTGAATCATTGTGTAATTGGTCAATGAGTGAAAGATGGTAAAACGAAGTAGAACTATCAAGAACTTGAATTGTAAACGAATGTCTTCTTTTTGCTTATTTCCTGTACAACAAATAAAAGTCTTTGTTAGACAAAATGACTTTTCGGCAACAATATCCGGGTTTCCTCTAAACTCCCTCGTTTTATTTAGCTTGTTCACAGTCCAATCTCAAACCTGGGTTATCTCCAAAACTTTGGAAAAGGTATTTGAACACAAATTTTATTCAGTGTTAAATTATTTTTGCTAATTGTTTTTTGTAAGCATGATCGGACAAGTTGCTAATTTATTCTGTCAAAATTTGTTCCGTAATGTGTGTAATGAGTGTGTGAGTTCAAATTTGCATGTTTCCTATTGCCTGCAAACGATTAAGTTATTTTCGTTCCATTATTTTGTAGCCAAGCTTTTATATTTTGTACATTTGTAGTAGGCCTAATGTGTATGTTATCTAATAGTGAGGATACTTGTTGGCATAATTTTGAAGCACGGCACCGGTATTGCATATCAGGATAGGTACTGGAAAGGTTCTTCATGATCATTTATACTCTAAATACCCCATTTCGTATATACAGTACTGCCTGACTATCTGAGAGCATCGGGAATCAGATTTTGGACGATGTTTCCTCCTGGAAGCTAGAACCAGTTTCAGGTGCCGTCAGAGTTCGTTAAGTCCGTTATAACTTTCCCTTGAACCGGTTCCAGTGCCACCCGTGCTGCCGGATGTGACGGGGGATGGGGCGGCTCTGACGTCACAGCCGTCATCGCTTGCCAGCTGCTTCCTCTCATTTTGGGTCTATTTATACACCCATTCATTTCTCCCTCTTCGTCCTAGGCCATGTGCGAGGTCGCTATTGCGGATTCAATTATAGGCCTTTTCATTTGAGAGGGATGCGCTTTTGCTCTGCGATTCGCCGAAATCTATTGTTGTCAAAATTAATTCTGTTTGAAACATCTACCTTATTCCTCCATCTGCCCGATCGCGCTTGAGTGCGAACGTGGCACAAATCCTTTCGGAAGGTTTGTCTTTCAACGTTGCATTTGCCGTTCGCGGTCAGACGATGACGTCGACTGTTTTGTAAAGGCCAACGACCAGAGACCAGACAGCCTTGGTTTGCATTTCTCATAGCGATGTAAATTCGGACGCTCTGCAGTCATCGGATATTTTACTTGAGCGACAATTCGTTCATATTACAGTACATCGTGCCCCACGGCAATTAGGCATAGATATTTAGGCCTAAAGTTTACTCATATACGGTTTCTAGGTTCATCATCCAATAACTTTGCCAATACTGGCTCCTAAGCAATATTTTGTAAACATATAGATATAGCCCAATTCAATTGTGTAGGAAAACTTATTTCAATTCCAAACTACCATTTTCAACTCGCCAACAAATTTTCCAATCACCCGACTCCCCCCAAACAAACAATCGACCAACGAATAAACTTGTTTGCTCGTGGAAAGCCACAACGTCGGCAAAACGCAAAGGTGTGGCGGAGCACAACTTGGCAACACCGCATGACGTCACTTCTGGCACATTGACAATCCCGGCATGGCCTAATATAGGAGGCCAAACTAACCTAACCTACATACAGTTTATTTCTTATCACGTGGGCGAGTTACCGTTCAGCCATCTCAGCTTGTAATGGAACTGACGAGATTGGCAGAACGTATTCCAAGTTGTATTTTCGGTTCATAGTCTACCAAAGAAAAATATAAACTTCTCTTTGCTTATACATTACTGAAAATCCTTAAGAACTTTCCTAGTGTATAGCATTTATCTAAAATTTCTCATAGTAATGATTTTATCGCAATGATTCACCCCTCGCGACCTTGTCGGTGGCGATCAACTTTCTTATCAGCAAACAATGCCATCGTTATCGTGGAAACACAACATCAACAGTGCGAAACGTTCATTTCATATTCCTAGAGCCACGGGACGTTCACCCATCCACAATGACCTGTTTCCTTTCCCACATCACTCGTCCACGGCGGGTTCCCACGACTAATAAACACTGCAGACGTTGAGGTCTTAGCTTTTAACATTCTACTAATTCCCTTGGTATTCGTGAATACTAATTTGAGCCGCCTTGAGATTTTAACGTGTAGAAACGTCCGGTAACCTAATATTTGCCAAGTCAAAGGTTCGTGTTCGGTAACAAATTCTTGGCATATATGAATATCGTAGACGCGTGAAAATGTGGAAAGTTGAACACTTTCATCCCGTGACAAAATAACACGTGAATGTGTTATTACTTTTACAAACCAACATTGGAAATGTGAAAATATTATTCTGACTAACATATATTGTACCTAGCTAGATATTTTGCCGCGGCAGAATTGCTTAGTTTTTGTAGTTTCAGGTACTGTAGTTAGCTGTCTGTATAGGATTTGGGGTAGATAAGGTACAATTCATTTAGGTGATTTTATTATAAAGTGAATTACGTTGTTAGTGTTCCCTAGATAACAAGTTGGGAATGGAATGCCTCAGCACAGCACTAGGTCTAACGGCAGCGAGTGTGACGAGGCGCTACGTGTCTGTGCGCCGCGCCGGTAGTGAATAAGCGTGACGTCACAGGCCGGTGACGCTCGGCCACGTTCGGAAGAGCTCGGCTCATCTCGGGCTCGCCGTGGAATGCAGTGCTGTAATCGCCGACCGTGCAGCCTGACGTCATGCGGTGTTGCCATGTTTGACAACGTTGCCACTTCTCACGCCCGGCCCGCTCCGCTTGGCTTACAAACTGTACGCGGGTGAAATCCTAATTATGTTGCGGTATTTTGTTTTGTTATTTAGTTTATTTTAATTATTTAGACCATTTCCGCCATACGACTACCACTACGTTTGACAAAACCCAGTTGATTTTTTAGGTTATGTCTCGGTTCTAACTTAAAAACCTAAGCATTATCAAACATGATTTTTAGATAATTATTGGACCTTTCCGTTTATTAAATTCTACCGTATAATTTACATATAACAATAGTGTACACAATTCAAGTTTAAAGTTGCGTATTGGTTCTACCCTAACCTAACATTACCTATAGCAATCATAAATACCCTAATGTTAAACAGAATTTGTAGGTACCGTTAGCTAGAAATTTCATAATGAAAAATGACATAGGTGTACTGTACATATTACCGGTAGTGAATGAATAGGTCCTTTAGTGTGTAACAATACACAAGTTAAGTTTTAATTGGTTATGTTTCAGTTCTAACCGAAAACAACCTAACATAACCTGACCTAACCCTAAGCAGGAATTGTAGATACAGTATGGCCTATAATTATACAATTTCAACCGGAATAACTGAAGTTGCTTGTAAGGGATAAGGTCCCATAAAAAAAAAAATAACACAACTGTATAACTGAAAAGTTCCGCTAAGGAATTGTCGAAAATTAGGCCTGTCAACCTCAAAAACTTAGTTTGGAAGTCTATATTAAAAAATGGACAATTCCATCAGAACACTGTCACAGAACATTTAACCTAAAGTTAAACTACATTCATAAATAGGAATAGTTCATGATCCTCAACAATAGTCATTGTAGTTAACTAAGTCTTCTAAGTATGACTCATTGCTAAAGAGATGAGTCGCTGTCAGTTATAGAACACAAGATTACTCACTCATAGTCGTGGGTATGCTCCAGATGGCATAAACAATAAGCACATTCCTCTGAACTGAAATGCTATTTGTTCAGTTCTTGTAATCAAGCCTTAAATTCACATCATTGGCTTCAATCAGCTGTTTATTGAACTCATAACTTTACATTACATTATTTTCTCTCCATTCTACACTCATCCTGGATTCTCTAATCTCTATTCTATCCTCAAAATATACTGTGACATCCTATTATAGTCAGGTCACAAAATTTAGGCTGTTTATATTGAAGGTTTCCTTGTTTCCTCCACCATTATTTTTACCTTGAATATATTATGTCAGCTGATCAGCTGTTGGCGGTAGTTTTAATGTTATTAGAGGTTGCCCCGTAGTCGAAAACCCGCCCAAAAATTTATTCTGCATTGCCTCCAGGATTGATTTAAATGACAAAATAAATAAGTTTACGTACCTTAAGTGTCAACAAGGTCGTTCAACGTAAGTTATGAACCTATTTGTTTTGTCGAACCAAAAATAGTGTTTTGCGCAAACTTCTCAATTTTACCCCACGCTGTAAATGAAACATGTGATTGGAATTTGTTCCATTTGTTTTGGTTTTCTGTTTATATTTCGTTGTTATTTCATCACCAGCATGGCAATCCTGGCCCGCGTTAATTTTTAAAAGACTTAAATTCCTCTTTTTTGAGACCATTTTAATTTTTTAAAGGGATTCTGCAAATCTACAGGCAAATATCCGTCTATCAGTAGATTTTCCCTGCGATGCACACAAGCCGAGAAAAAAAGGTTATTGAAGGGACATGCTTGCCTATCAATAAGTTGTATAGGATGGCGAGGTGGAGGGAATGGTATGGAATCACTTCTTCTCAAACAGCCAAAAAAATGTTAATGGAGTAAATATTATAATACTTGCACTCTAAAGCTATATGCCTCAGAATTATTTTTAAGTAATAACTTAAACAAAATAACTTAGTCATATAGAAGTACGACAGTCCTGTAAATTTCTGATTTGACTTAAAAGATAAGGTTTATGATTTTCTAATTATTATGTGCTTCTCTTTTTTAAGCTTAGGAATTAAGATCATTGTAGGCCTATATCAAATAGGCCCTAAGTCTGTGTATTCGACAAAAATCAGTTATTTGCAGGACCACACTCTGTTGATAGTTCAAATTTTAATTTTAAATGGCATTAGCATTATTTTTCTATCCCTACTCAATGATAAAACATAATGCCAACATCGTCACTGTAGAATCGCTTCTAATGACATTTGTTCCACAGGTTACCCCGGCAGTGGCTCATTGACGTCAGGTGGGGCTGGTAGTCCACTAGGCCCCCGTACTACGTCGCCACCTGAGACAGTAGGGGGCCAACAGCCCCCCGCAACTCCGGGGGCCACACAGTCCCCCATGGCAGCTCTCATGTCTGTAGCAGACACTCTGCCCCCCGGATCCCCTCGCAGTAATGGTGGATCTCCCCCCAGTGCAGGGGGCCCCCGCTCCGCTTCCAGGGGATCCCAGCACTCTCCCAACTCTTCAGGTGAGAATGTCCGTATTATTTTATTTGATTTTTATTTTTATCCAAAGTTTTAACCTTTCCTTTCCCTTTAATCTTTAACGTCTTTAACAAATTAATCTAGGCAATTTTATGTTTGTTTATTTTAGGAATACAAAAATAAAATGTGCAAAATGTAATTCTGTTGATCGCACACACACACACACACACAAGTACCAAAACTTGGTAAACGGTAAACACCTATGCCGTAGACCAGGAATTATCATTGATTTATGTAGGTACTAGAACTGGCAACCTATTCTGGTTTATCATTTTGAACCCACAATATATACATTCCCCTATTTTTAAATTTAAATCTCAAGAAGGGATCTTTTGGCTGTTGGTTAAACCTAAGAATCTTAACCATGCCATCAAATTAAACACTTACAGTACGGTCCACGAGAGTCTGCAGTTGAGGGATTAGCCTATTTACCACGTGACTTCGATGGAGCAAATGAGGACAGTGCAGTGTTGCCAAATCTAATAATAGGCCTACCAGCTGATTAAAAATATTGTTTAGTATATTTTAATTATTGTCGTGCTGCAACGTCGTGCTAGTCCAGTCTCTGTATTGGCTGCCGCCAACTGCAGACACTCGTAGTCCCTAGTATAATCAAATTGGCCCTTGGCCTCCAGGTTACATAATATACCAGGCACAGTTTGGTTAACCATTCCAAAATGGAAAAATGTATTGGGGGCTTTCAGTCTGTCTTTTGTTTTTTAAACTACAAATTTTTTCCAATGTAGGCTATCCACCATAATAAATAACATAAAAAATAAGCAACAAAGTATATTAAACTGTAATTAACTACACTTGTGACACGTAAGCTGACACTTGGCCTAGTGCAGGCAGTATTGGCAGGAGGAGGGTTGAGGTAAGGTAAAGACCGGACTGCAAACATTCCCGCTGCCTCACAGGGTTAACTCCCCGTGTTTAATGTACTTGAGCGCCTTCATGTGGGTCGTGAGGGCAGTTGACAGAACCCGCGTGACGGGACATAATGTTTATGAAACTAGATGCTAGTAGCAATCGGTCAAGTGCCAGATTAGGTGTCACGAGCTGTACTTGTAAACTTACTTGTTGTAATCTATTACAACTGTAATATATAAGATACTCGTCCATCCTGCCATGGGTATTGGTTCACACGTTGTAGGAAGCCGTGTGGCAATGTTGAAACAATAATACTAAAGTAGTAAAGTAGTATTCACTAGAGCCTGGCACATACATTTTTAGTACAGTCAGGGGTGGCAAAATAGGTTAAATGTATTTAAAAATAACTTGTTACTAACCGACATACCTCTCAGGAACAGTATCCAATATCACATTTCTTCATAGTGAGGGTCGGATAATTACGAATAGGAATGTCGGTAAACAAGACTACAATTCTAATTTTTCCAATAATTCTGGTAAACATACCAATTGAAAAAGTAAAGATGGCATACTCTTAACGTTTAAGAAGTGTTTCTTTAGACCGTTTCAAGTAGGCTTACTTGGTATTAACTTTGACTAGATAGTCCCTTCCCATGAGAAAGTTATCACCAGTTTTTGAATCAAAATTAACATAGTTGAGTTGAGCGACTTATAGAGTGCTCTGATGTAAATTACTGATTTCTCTTGAATATGCCAACTTTTCGTCTTAGTCAAATTTTTGGGGTGACAAGATATAGCATGTTCAATGGTATATACTATCTCGGTAGGTAATAAAAACAAAAGCAGAAAAAATCAATTTAAACTGTAGCACACTCTGAGTAGTTCAATAAGCTTTGATTAAATTATAGGCTTCAGCTGGTCCATACAAAAATCTACTTCTGTCTCCAAATGTCAAAATGCTATTACCCTATTGTAGAGGTAATATTTAGACTGTTAAACACCAGACATATCTGTAACGTACAATGTTTGTTTTCAGGATCGTCCAGTGGCCGGAGGTCCTCAGGTAGTCGCCACGTCAGCTCCACCACGGTGACGTCCAGTGAGACGGCCAACGCAGGGTCCAGTGGAGGCACCCCCACCACCGAGCCCCCCGCTACAGGTGACCCTCCAGCAGGGACACAGGCCCCCTCCGCCACACTCAAGTGTACCCTGTGTCAAGAGAGACTGGAAGACACACACTTTGTCCAATGTCCCTCCGTGCCACAACACAAGTTCTGCTTCCCTTGCTCTAGGGATAGTATCAAGCGACAGGGTGCTGGCTCTGAGGTTAGTATTATACATGGTCGTCTATAGGCTATTCCAATCCTCGTTCACTGTGGTGTCATGTTAGCTGGGTTGCTGAGGGGACATAATGCTAGGGTTTAGAAGGTAGCCAGTTTGTTTCTGCGATGGACATTTTGACAGTTAAAACTGGATGTAGCTGTTCCTTGATCATTATGCTTTTGATAGATTTTCTCGGGTAAAGAAACAGATGCTGTTGCTGTTGAGGGAGGCAGTCGTCCTAAGAAAGATAGGAAACATCACGTTAATTGTCATGTCGGTTGTATCAACTGTTCTTGGGATACTCGTGAAAGTGCTAAATAACAATTGACTTTGCAATGAATTTGTTGATAAAGGACGAGAAAAAGGTGAAAACGTTAAAACTAAATGAGCATTTTTAAGGTTCTGAAGTTTAAGTACATTTAATATATCGCTGGGAATTGAGTTTGAAATATCTAGCTTAGACCTGATGTGCTTTCTGTACTACACAGTGGGTGTGAAATGGAGTAGAGTTAAACACATTATTCGCTAACTCTTCTAAACATCTGTCTATCAGTTAATCAAGGACTGGTATGATACTAAAAGCAGATTTAATCATTTTAATTCTAAACTTGAAAAATGAAAGGGTTACTTTGAGTAGCCTTGATAGTGACTAGAACATGCTGATTCTTTAGCCAAGGGACCATGATTAATGACAGCTTGTCGTTTCTTAAACCAACAGCTTACTAAGGTATCCAAATTAAACAGCTTACTATGGTATCCTATGTATTAATAGGCAAACATGTTTCTTGGAAACCTTTTTTCTCATCTCGTGTGCATGGCAGGGAAAATCTACGCGTACTACATATTTGCACAATACATATTTTTGGTCGAGTTTTCAACCACGGGACAACCTTTAGTCCTTATTAAACAGCTGACCTTACACTTTGTATTCATATTCATATTCTTATTCGATTTTACACATGAACAAGAATACTCATGGATGAATTATAAGATCTAAAAACTAATTTGAGGAAAGTTATTCTAATTCAATAAAACATATTTTCTTTAAACGTAAAACTGTGATTTCTCAAAGCACTCAAGACGTATTATGACAATTTTAGAAAATGGTTTCAAGGACAGGATTTGTTAAACATTTTGAGAGAATGATAAATTTCATAATCTCAATTTTGCACAAGTGAAAAATAGTCGTAAGCATAATTTTTGATTAGTAAGCAACTAATACGACAAAATCTTGTTTCCAGGTGTATTGTCCGAGTGGAGAGAAATGTCCCCTGGCAAACTCCAATGTTCCCTGGGCGTTCATGCAAGGCGAGATAGCTACCATATTGGGAGAAGAGTTCAAAGTGAAGAAAGAACGGGAAACTTAGAGGGGCGTGGCTGCCCCGAAGGGGTCCTTTAACCTTGTTGTCGCCCTTTGTTGGGCTTGGAGTCGGCTTCGACTTTCGCCCTCGGCTCAAGTCTCCGACTCGTCTGTAAATACGTGGTATGGTTGTACAGAAATGGAGTGGCTACTGCGGCGGTGTCCATCTTGGTAGCGTGCCACGCTACGTCCATGTACAAATTAATGTTAATTTCATGTGAATACGTACGTTATCATTTAGTATTATCGAATTTTGTTTTTGTTTTGTGATCTCTGTTGATGTTTTGACGAATCAAAACGGCTTTATACTGATTGTGAAACAGCTGTGATCGCAAGACTTGAAATTATGAATAAAGCACGTTTTAAGAATTTATAAGCAATTTATTTTTTAGTTTGTACCCTCTGTATTTCATTTGTCACAATTTTCATCTCGTTGAGCACTGATACTTGAGTTTGAAGTTCATACGGAATGTTATGCCTTGGAAATTTCATTGTTATTCAACCTCTTATTGTTAACAGATTTTAATTCTATTAATTCATTGTAATATCATGCCGGTAGTGTTTTACAATTTTATTATCAAGAGAGTTGGGAATCAAAATAAGTTGTACGGAAGTATATAGATACATAACAATTAGACTTGACCTAGTACAAATTTATGGCTTAGCAAGTTAATATTAAGGAGTTTTAATGAAAGTGTATAGATGTAATTTTACCAGTATTTTACGAAAATTGTTGAAAACTTATTTTTATCTACACTAATCAACATAAAAACATTAAGTACCGTAGTCCGTAACCCTATTAAAATTTCTTTTCTATTAATTTTAGACCAAATATATTTTTAAATTTTATATCTTGAATTCAAATACTGTTGATGTTAAATTTCAATCAGTTAATTGTAAATTCACAATGTATATTATTTGTAAGTTTCCTCTCAGTCAGTTTGATCAGAGATTGTTTTGTTTTAAAATTTTATTGTTGATGACTCCATGACTGTGGCTTTTTAGTTGATTTAGTTATTGATATTAAATTAACAAGATGATCACTCCTAGTCATCTGACCTATGGGAACTCCGCACTCGCTATTTTAGTCATGCCAAACGTTTTGTTAGACACACTTCTAATGTACAAAACTATATGGTGTACGTTTCCAATACAAGGTTACTTTTAGTTGGAAGTCGATGGCTTGTATAAACTGTATAAAAGATCGGTGTTACAGTGATTGTAAGTGTATATACTTATGTTTGTATCGTATCAATCCGAAAGTTAATGTCATATGTTCCTTAGACCTAGAGTAAGATGGTTACCTACCTTAAAACAAAATAATTCTTAATCATATCCAAAGTATTTGCCTATTACTGCTTAAAAAGGTTTCTAAATTCTGCAAACTTATTTCATAGCACTTAAAGATACAAATTTAAAAAAATTAAAATATCAATAAAAGATTTTATACAATTTCATTTAAAAATTAAAAATCCATTACACCCCTAAGCATAGTATTTCTTTGTTGAACCTGGCTGAGAAATATTTTGTTTGAAGGTCGTAGCCGTGTCGATGTGCTAACTGTTGTAGTATGACCAAACACCATCAGATTCTAACAGTCGCTTGTAGAAGCCATAGCTTAGCACTCGACTGAACTTGCTGTGATGTTATTGTAAACCAGAGAACGAATAAGTGAATTTCTGACAAATTTTAGACCGAGTTTGTTTAATTTTTTATCCAGTATTTTCTATGCTACGAAGGGTCGTACATTTTCAAAAGGTGGTCTGGTGTTCGGCAAAACCTAAGCTTTAAACCGTTTTTGCAAGTCGAGTGCCAGAGGTGTCGAAGGTTCGTGTACATAACCGAGCACTGTGTTTTGATACAGTCATGTGCATTTCTGTGTGTAGTCTTAGTATGCTTTATAGTGTTCATGTATTATTCTACATCTGTCAACAACTCATCTGATGACAAACTATTAAAAAGTTATTTTGTGGTGTTATAACAATGTGTGATTATTCACCTGCCCCCATCGAACTTCCTAATCAAATCCTTTGTTATAAGGTGCTGCAAAACCCTTAAATTTATAATCTTTAACTTATACACAGTTGTTTTCATATTATAGATCTTTTACTCATATTATTGTAATGTATCTTTTACTCTATACATGTAAACTACAAAAGTACTCAATCTTTTTTTATATATGAAAAAAAATACTGTATGATATTGCCTCTCTGTTGCAAAATTACGTAAATATATATATATATTATATATATGGGGGAAAATCTGTCACAAACTTGCATGTTTAGTATGGAAGTCAGGGCCGCTTGGGCCCAGGCCCAGGGACGCAAGAGGTTTTAGGCTTGTTGGAGGTGCAAGGAGGGGGAAATTTCCCCCACAATTTATGTGGAGAGGATGGGGGCACAGTGCATCTCATGCAAACCAAAGGCCTGATGGAAGTAGGGTAAAGGAAGTCATAAAAACATTTTGGAAACTTGAATCTACTTGGCACAGCAAAGAATTACAGCCCTGAAAGTATCGAGCTGAACAAATTTACAGATATGATTTGAATTGAAGAGTTCTTTATTGCACTTAAAAAGGCTTAGCTTATCATAATTTGTACCTACCTCCAAATTATGAAAGTAATGCTGTAGATGGAAAACCTTATAGAGATTTCTATCAATTTATCATGTACTGTTGTCTTCTAGTTTCTTACTAAGTTTGATTTTAATAATAATAGTCATTTTGTAATCAGAAACTGAAGAGTTATTCTATAAACTTAAGTATTCATTTAGACACTTAATTCACCTGAAATCCCCTTTTGTTTGGCGTAAATACAAAGGGCACACTAACTGTCTCCAATTTAAAAAGGTGATTTTTTTCTAAAGGCATATGTCCTGCAACACATGCTTGGGTTTAAACCGAGAACTTCCTTAACTGTACTACTGTACACATAATAATATATTACATAGAACTCGAGATCAACTAGGACTTTGATATAGTTATCTCTGGTAACTTAAAATCATTTAGGACAGCCTCTGTATAACATCTCTAAACTGGTTTTCCATCCCAAAACCGTTACATAAATCCCCGCTTAGTCACAAAACAAGCCGCATATTTGGCGGGTGTTCAACAGTTCTGGACTGGTCCATTTCCACAATTCCACGTCAGCTGCTGCGTCGTGTCCAGGAATAGTGTGAGGTCCCGGGATCTATTCCTGGCCTCCCTTCTGCCATTGACCCGACTAGTTCAATGCCATTACGAAATACTGGACGAATTATATATCCCAAAAAACAATGGTCCGAATTAGGAGTGAAAGGGGGTTCGGTTTGTCAACTTCTGGTTTTGGTCCTTCGAGCCGGACAAAACATTTTCAGTCATGTGGCCACCGGTGAACTCTCGTCGGTCGCTGAAGAGTTCTAGAGATGGGTTCGGCTTTAAGTTCTGGATTTGCGCCAAGATTGCGTTCAAAGGTGAGTGGCGGAGGTACTTTCGGATTGTTTTAAAATTAGCTTTCAAGTAAGGGTAAACATAGTAGCCCAGTCAAGCAAGAAATATTTACTGTTAATGTAGTGATGTCATTGTGGGGACCGAGATTAATAATACATAAAAATTTCTTCATTTTCGAAGAACTAAATAGATGTTTTGTATATTCTGATAAGTAACGAATTAACGTACTGATGAATGTTAAACTCTCCTTAAAAAAGTGTTTATATATATATATATCAAGTAAAATGATGCGAGTTCTAGGGGGTGGTTATTCATATAAAAAATTCTCAGAGATGATCTGTTAGAGAATAACAAAAATAATCTCCAATAGTTGTGTCTTGTACGAGAATTTCTACCTCGACATACAACTGACATTTGGTTTGACATGATCTCAGAATATGACTGGAGGTTTATGTGCATATAAAAGTAACTATTTCAAGCACTCAATGTATACTATGACTCACATTAACAGGCTTTTCTTTCGTGTTTGCTGAGTTATACACTTCCCATGTGATATGAAAGTTTGAAGCCAAGAAAATAGATGAAGTTCAGGACGGCTTCAAATTTTTACATTACATGAAAAGTCTGTGTATAGTCAATATGGTTATAGATTGTCTTATAGAGTCTCATAATATTCAAACTGATTTGTTTATGATAATGCCTATGATTTTATAAATGCGAATTGGATTATTTATCACAATTTATTGTAAAACAAGGTGTCTTATTTGAGTTAGCTCTTCTGAATAATGCTTAACAACCCGATTTAGTCACGACCATTCCCTAGAGTCAGCGTTTTGGCGTGTTTTATTGTGGATAGTTGTGTTATATTGTGGATAGTTGTGTTATATTGTGGATAGTTGTGTTATATTGTGGATAGTTGTGTTATATTGGGTAGCTGTGTTATATTATGTAGCTGTGTCGTATTCGTATTCCAGCATCCGCGGCATGCAGGGCGGCGTATACGTCAGTTGGTGTTATTTTCCGCCCCTGACCGTGCCAAAATACACGACCAGTGTTTCCATCCGCAAGAAAAAAATATCCCTGGGTCAACGTCAAAAAATCCCTAGTTATCCCTAGTCCGTGTTTTAATAATCCCTCCAATTATCCCTCTTCATCAAATCTAGATAACTTATTATTTTTGCAGCAATACCAATGGATATCATGTATAGCCAGCTAAAATATGGTAACTGGTGGTATTATTCTTCAATATCCCATATTATTTATAAAGTAATACTATATAAAAAAACATTTTTGCACCATTAAATCCACGGCCATCTTTAACTCCAGACAGGCCGCGGCCTGATAGAATTGGCAACGTTGCTAGTACCGTAGTATTGTTTAGCTCCAGACGTCCCATAAGTTAACATGGAAATAAAACATAATGTAGAATCGAAAACCAAAACAATATAAATTGAAAATCTATTTCTATACATTCAATGTGGAGTCAATATTTTCATAGCCCAGTAACCAAGCTTTCGTATTTATTATAAAAAATACATAAATATCATTAGCTTAGCGTTCTCCAAACAAACACCTTTTACAACACTATACTTGCAACGTTTCCACTTCGAAGGCCGCGGCCTCCGGCCTGGAATTAAAGGTAGCCGTGATTAAAAAATGCCTATGTGGTACAAAACAAGATAAATTAACTAAAAAAATGAAACAATTAGTTATTTTTGACATTTTATAAACTAATAATTTTTATTTATAAGTAATTACAATTGTTTCAAAAATGTTACTCAAGTGTCCAAATTTCAAACTTAGTCTTTTTCAAACATGGCCACCATGCCTTGGTGAAAAGGTTACACCAAGTTACTTTAACCAAAAAAATCATAGAAATCACCGGCAAACAAAATCAAAACGAAAACAAACATTAGACATTTTTGACACAGAGCACAGGGCTACTAAGAAACAAATACAGTAATCTAGATCCGCCATTACATTCCACCGACCGACTTGTCCTTCGCTTGTTTCGTGCAGTGTTGGCTCTTCCCCTTGTCTGTTCCGACTTTGAAACACTACGTCACTACCACTACCTACAACCATAGATAAAACGGTTAGTCTATGCTACAACCATAGATAAAACATACTCCTTGAGGAGTATCTTCTACAATCAATTTGTTACCAAAATCTGGGGAAAAAGTAGTATAATCAATGCGTTACGGTGTCAATACCTTGCAAAATTAGCCAAAATAGGTCCTTGACGTTGTTGAATTACAGCCAAAATGTATTATTTTATCAATATTTCAATTTTATAAAGTCAAAGGCCTGAAATCCCTAGAAAATCTAAAAAAATCCTTCAATTTCTCTGATTATCCCTAGTTATCCCTCAATCCCTTTTCAATCCCTCGAAGGCCCTAAATATCCCTAGAAAGGGATTTTTATCCCTCAAATGGAAACACTGTACACGACACGCCGCCGGGCATGCGCTCGTGCGCTCCGCCAGGGGAACTTGGCGCGCACTTCCTTGGCTGTTGGCTGGCTTTGCCTGCGCTATTTGCCGTCTTGGCCAACATTAAGCAATTAGCACGTACAATTTGAGATGTAGTAGACGATACTACGACCGATTTCCCCCTTTCTGTAAACATCGTGACTTTGTGTTTAAATTTAGAACTCTTAAAACAATTCAATATCATAGCGATTAGTGTAGGCTACGTAATTAAGAGGCATAAAACGAACCATAGTCATGTTTGTGATTAAATAAAGGATAAATATAATCAGTTGGTAAATGTGCAAAGAAAACTGCATTGAAGACATTGTTTATACTGTATGTAGGCCTAAGATATATTATAAACACATTTTGCAGAGAAATGAAAGAGTTGTGACGTAAAGTTTATTTACACTTATATTGTTGGACTCTACGGGGATTTGTAGAGGAATATTTATACATTTATGTTAAACTTTATCCTCGAAAACCCCTCGCTAGTTATGCTAGTACATAATAAATACATTCCCATAATATATTTATTCAAGCTAGGCATAATGCTAGAAAATTGAGCATAAAACGTATCTGTATACATAATGACCTTATTATTTTTTTAGATTGATATGCTCCACCAATAAACTTTTTTATCTTACAAACGAGTCTTCCGAAAACATTCATGTCCAGTTACATTATTATTGATTAATTAATTTATATTATTATTGATTTCATCGACATCGGCGAAGAGATAACGTAATTTTCTGTATGACGAAACGTCGTAGTTACCAAGTTGCCACCCATGTGTCGTCGTATGTTGTAGACCAGCTGTACTGCTGTACACGTGTGTATGTGTGGAGTTATAACTCGGCAGCTGTTATCTGTTATCAGTCAAGGCCATGCGGGCAGCGGCAGCCCCCTGCTGATAACAACAGACAAGGGTACAAACACAACACAACAGAGCACACACCGAGGTACACTACATATGTGAAATAAACAAACAACATTCTTGTACATCGGCTTCATTTTTTAGTCATCTCAACAAAGTTAAGTTCTAGCATAGACAAACAGAAAGTATATACGTATTTACACGGCGCTCCCAGCGGTGGACGCCAGAACCTAAGGTAATCGCAGCATGGCTGTCTATATTTAATTCCTGTTGTCTGTGGTTCTAGGAATGAACAGTATATATGATAGCACATCCTGGTGAGAACCGTATGGACGTTACCTTCTTTTGACTCAGGCTAAAATGATACCATTGACTGTGAACGCACAACTAGTTTTTTTCTATTATAACATGTGAAGTTTTTATGTGTGTTTCGCTTATCATTTCAAGCACAGAGAGAATCAGAGTTTTCATGTTGTGGTTCAAGTGAGCCGATGTCAACTAAATGTTCTTATTTTAAGGCAAAGTTTTTCAGTGTACGCTTTACTGACTCCGTTTGATATAAAAGGACAAGAAACGGTAATAATAAGATATGCTGAACAATGTAGTTCAGATAAAAATGATTGGTGATTATATGGGGTTTTATAAACAACAACAAAACTATAAACAATATTTAATTCTATTTGTCTATGGTACTACTTTTATAGGTGCGGTAATCTGGTTTCTTTTCGACCATGAATGATTTTAAAATTGAATGCCAATCACTCAAACGAAACACCAAGACAGAGATATTTAATTTATTCCTTCACCGACATATCTTATCAGTGACGGCGTTATCAGACCTTATCACCCAAGGTCGCCTGATCGCCCCGCCCTCTCGCCTCTCGCCACACGTTCGCTGGCGTGTAGCGTGTGCGTGTTTTGTGTCGGTACACGCACGTATAGCTCAAAATGACACTTGGCACGCCTTATTGGGCTTTAGAAAGTTCAAGCAGGCACATGTTTTGTTGGTTTGCACTGTATGTAGTTTCCGGACCTTAGTTATCTGCCGTAGCCTATATTATTTTACTTTTACTATAACTTTCTTCATCAATATGTAATTTTGTTTGGTCAAAACATAATTTGTGTTCATTGTTTTACGGTGTAAGATATAATTGAGTTTAGCAAAGGTGTGTTTTTCAGGATTGAAGATTGAAGGTAGGGAATTCTTCTTGTCCAGCAGTCGAAAGAGGATAGAAGTTTCTTGAAACCCGTAAAAGAAAGGAATGAGAATGAAGCACGCATGTTTTCAGCTTAAAATGTTATGTGTTATAGAAGACCGTATATGAGCTTTTAAATCTATATATTAATTTGAAACTGTTTTTCTTTGTCATAGCTAAATTGAGAGAACGGCAGGGCGTAGAAACTCGGTAGAGGTGTCTAAAGAAAGGTCTTGGTCTGTAGATGAGCCATCAATAGAGAAAGCTTTTTGAGAAAAGATAAGATATTTACAAAAGATTTTGATTATATCTAACTGTTGTGTAGATCGTGAGTATTTCCATAATCTTCGTGAGTCGCCTGTAACGATTCGCAATTGCTCGAATTCGAGCACCAGGTACACTAGTAATTAATAAATTTGTATCGATCTCTTAAAAATGATGTCCTTGTTATGACTTGACCAAACAAAAACGTCATGAGAATGAAAATAGGCTATCAATCAATATGCAAAACTTCACATAGGTTTTACAACATGTCTCCGCAATACTTGTACATTGACCACGCTAGAGTATGTAGTCAAGTCGCGTGATGGGCTGTCACGCTTATCACGTGACAGGGATGTATGGATGGATATATCAGCGATATTATCAGAAGGTCAGGGCGGTCACGCCATCTTGCGTGTCAGGGCTACCAACCTACCAACCTGGCGAGCTTAAAAAGTTCGTCAACACGATATGTATTAAGATGATTGTTCGGAATTGAGTTTTTATGTTACAAGCACACAAAATGCATCGTAACGACCTAAATTTGCAAAAAGGAAGTGTTCTATGAATATAAAATAGATTTATATCTTGAAACTGAAATATTACTTCGTTTAGGTACTTATTTATGCTTCAATAAATAAAAACGTATAATTCCTACTTGTTTTGCAAAAAAAAAAAAAGACTCGAAATGCCACAACAAATCTACGAACCCAAAAAAATTCACTAAGTCACCTCGACGAAATCAGTTTTTTTACCGAGTATTTTAGTATTTACTAAAGAAATTACACAAATTTACTGCAGTTTCAAAAACGGGGGAATGCTATAGACACGGTCGTCGATTCTAATGCAGCATTTAAAAAATCGGAATATTTTATACCTCCTTTTTCTTGTTTTAAGTAGGATAAGAAATCAATACTTAGGGAGAGGCTTGGAAATCGAGCATTCGAGAATATCATGTATCCAGGTGAAGAAAGCCTGAAAGCCCACAAAGCTTTCGCCTATCAAATGTCACTAAGTTTATTTGCTTACCACAAAACAAGGTAGCGAAATGAGAGCTCTTAGTGATTTCCGGTCAACTCAGAGATGAAACCCCGCAAACTATACTGTACTATACGACTGTAAAATTTCTCAGATATTCGGCGTGGCTGAGGTATATTAACATGTCTAGAGGTTGATTAGTGATCACATAGAAATTAAACAATTTAAAACAAAAAACCTAATTAAACATAAACACTTACAAATTAAATACGTTAAACGTACATTCTTGTGACTGGTTCATACAGTGTTTACGTGAATTCACGTAATTTACGTCAAAGGTTCAGTCTGTAATTGTACCAGCTGTGATTCGATGACGTCACCTGACTATGGGAATTACGTGTGTGCAAGGTAAAACAATGGTAAAACACTTGATTTGTGTCGTAGACCATTATTATCTCCAACAATGTGAATAAAAATATCAAAAATGTTTAACCCCAGATAATGCGTCAGTAACAATATCATGTTGTCCCACATTTTCTGTGGGTTATGACTGTGGAAGTTCAACAACTCTTCGAAAATATACTTAGACACAAGATAGTAAAATGTATGTAAATCTTTCTATGTTGTATATTTCTTATTGAGGTGTAAGGGCTGTAAGTGTATTTATTTTCAATCTAGGAATGTAAGTTTTCAATAGGTTATTGCAAACAACAAAGCAAGCATACTCTTTTTATTCATTCAACACTAAACAAAATTGATGTATGTATTTTTCATAGGTAAAACCTGATGTTTTAAAAAAGGAAAATTTATTTTAAGAGATGATTTTGACAAATATTGTCCTAAAATGTTTATATTTTCCAACCTGAAGACACAAATCAAAATTCATCATTGTCAAGTTCGATTTCCCTTGACAAAAGCGGCCGCAACGCGCAAGTCCAGCCCGGGCGGGTCGAACTAGCGATGACGTCACTGTGTTTGGGTTAGGTTAGGACAATCAATAGACCTCTCTCTCAATGGGATAATAACACACTTCCTTTCCTTCCCGGAAACTGTAAATTGTAACAAACGGATATTTATGGTTCGGACCGGAATGACCCAACTGAAGGCATGTTTTGTGGAACCAACGGCGGGAGTGGGGTGTATAAACTTATTAGGCCTAGTGTAGACACGATGTCATACTGTCTATGTAGTAATTTAAGAACAAAGACCCTGACTAAATTTCGTATCCACAGAGAATGTGAAATCGAAATTTAACCACAAAAATGTCACAAGTCACACAAATTGTAGCTCAAATTGTATATTATTATGCATCTCTCAAAATTTGTTGGCAAATTCCCAATCTCGGATCACAGGTAGTAGATTTTTTTAAGACATAAGACATTTATTCGTTGCTTTTACATTATTATGCATAGACAAGTCAATTTTGTCTGTTAATACATATTGTATTCAGTCTTTGGTAAATAAATATAAATAACAAGGAACTAAGTTAATACAGGCAATATAAATACAAGAGTTAAAAATTAAAATTGAGCAACGAGAAAATAAATTCAAAAATTGTATTGTACAACTTAATAAAAAATGTGTCAATTAATAATAAAATCTAGAAATGTTCGTATGCAAAGCTGTCCCTGTCCGTGTTTTACAGTACTGAAGATGGTATAGCCTAGTGAAGCACAAATTCCAATAATTGTTTATGTCGTTTTTAATTCCAACAAAATAAATATTATATTGCAGCTTCTTTATCTTACAAAATCATTAGGGACTTTTTATGGCCTGAAGCATAAAATCTAGTGTAATTACTGCACCTAAGTAAGTACCTGTACATTTATTGTTCTGTTAAAGATCCAAAATGGTTCACTACTGGAATGTTGTCGTTCCGACACAGTGTCGTACGACCGAAATCGTATAGTGGGCGAGGGGCCTTATCTAATCTGGCAAGTAGTGGAAACCGTCATTTTGCTTTGGATTAATTTTAAATCTTGTGTAGGCTGATATAAGAAAAACTTACCAAATTTTCGAATAACATTTTCACATACATATTTACCTTCATCTCCCTTATTAATATATTTTTTCTTTATTCTTACACATTCATTAGTGCATTAATCGTTTTTCAAATTAAAGTTTTATTTTTTTTAGTTTAAGATTACGACTACAACAACGAAAACGTTCCATGTGGTAAAAACTTGAATATTGCAAAAAAAACTTGTAAGGTAAAGGCGTAAAGGTTTGAAGATTCTCCGTATGGAACAGCACTCAGAACTACTAACAGTGGTGTACTCTAGCCGCAATAAATGAAACTAGAAAAAGAAGAAGAAGAACGGTCAATCTCAATCGTCGAAGTCCAAAATCTAAATCCATACGTTATTTCAATTTTTATTTATATTTCTCAGTGTACACAATGAATACAATTGACAGTGAACATCTTATTACTGAAGTTAAACGTAGACCTGTGCTTTGGGATCAAAATCATAAATATTACAATCAAAGGAATGCCAAACTCCTGGCATGGCAAGAAGTGTTTGCTAACCTCATCGTGGATTGGACTGATATGTCAAAATACGACAGATTCGGGAAAGGTTTGTTTACAACAATAGGGTTTATAACTTAACTTAACTGTAAAATAACTGTGACTATAGATATGTAGGCCTAACATCTTAAATATCTTAACTTAGTAGGTGCTTTATAGTGATTTTCTTTTATCTAGGCCTAACGCCTAACTTATCTGTGTTGCTGAGTGTAAAAGGTATACCTGCTGTACTGTAAGTATAATGAAAGTTGCTGGTTCAACCCTTAGAAATTTAAAAGCCTTTAGAAGAAACTTCAACTGTGTCCGCAACAAATATTGAACTAAAACTTTTCTTATCCTTATTTTAAATACTTGAATACTTACTTGAATACTTGAATACTTGGTTGCTTCATCTTTGACCAACAAAGTTGGATTGATTGCGTCTTATTTACAAAAACATTTAAACACAAAACATATATATACAACTAAGCAACAATGGCGGGTATGGCGGTATTATTTACAAAAACCAGAGGCTCGTCAAAGATTTCTTGCCAGGAGTAAAGCGGTCTACTAAGCAAACTCTGGCGCAGCGTCAGCTTGAATCTCTTTTTGTCAAGAGCACGAACTCCTATCGGCAGTGTATTAAAAAGCCGAATAGCAAGTGATGGGTAGGAGTTAAGAGTGTGACTGAGTCGGCAGCGGGGCAGGTCAAGATCACATGCTCTGCGCGTCCCATAATCATGCTGTACGCTTCTAGTTATGAAGGATGGTTCATTTTCTTTCAGGAGGGCTAGGATGTTAAGCACGTATTGGCTGTGAATGGTCAGGATGCCAAGCTCCTTGAAAATAGGCCGACAATGGTCAGTTGAACTTGACGAAGTTATTATGCGTACGGCCTTCTTTTGAAGTAGCAGCAGACTTTGGGTAGCGGGGCTATGTCCCCACACAGCCAGTCCATAGTTTATGTGGCTATGGAAGAGAGAGTGGTAGACCATTAGCAGATAGGGACGAGTGATCTGGTACTTTAGTTTTTGTAGAAGGAATAGAATTCTGCTTAATCTAACGCATACCTTCTCAATATGCTGACTCCAATTGATCTTTGAGTCAATCCAAAAACCAAGAAGCTTGACTGCCTCATCGTCATTACCTTTCTTCAGAGTGCAGGTGATGGCTTGGGTTTTCTCATCATTGAGTTTTAGCCGGTTTCTTGCAAACCACTCCTTGGTTTCCTCAAGCAAGTAGGATGCCTCAGCCTTCAGATCGTTAAGGTCACTGTGCCTTGTTAACAACGTAGTGTCGTCTGCAAAAAGAAGTGTGCGCCTGTTGTAAGATAGATCATTTATCATGATGACAAACAGGATGGGTCCAAGCACAGATCCTTGGGGCACACCATGGTGAAGGTCTTTGATTTGAGAGGAGGCTCCTTTTAATGACACAAATTGTCTCCTGTTGTGAAGGTAATCGGCTAAAGTTCTATGGGCCGCTCCAGTGATGCCATATTTTGATAGCTTGGCTAGGAGTAAGTCATGGGAGACTACGTCAAAAGCCTTGCTGAGATCGCAGAGGCTGAGATGCATGGAGTCATTAGCTTCAAAGGCCGCAGAGATGTCCTTAATCAGGCTGAGGAGGGCGGAGGTAGTGGAACGCCCAGTCCTAAATCCGTGCTGTGAGTCACTGAAAAGGTTGTTCTTTTCAAAAAAGTCAACCAGTTGTTGCTTCATAACCGCCTCAAGAACTTTGGAGAAAACAGGGAGGATTGAAATCGGCCTGAAGTTTGAAGGTTGCGCTGGGTCGCCTTTTTTGAAGATAGGGGTGGTTTTAGCTATTTTGAGATGGTCCGGGAAAACTCCTTCAGATAAGCAGCTATTTACTAAAAAGGCAAGAGGTTTGACTATCTGCTTAATTACTGACTTTAAAATGTGGGTTGAAATTCCATTTATGTCTTGACTATGAGAATCTTTAAAGCTAGAGACTATTTTTATCAAGTCAGACTCACTCACCTTGGTCCAGTTGTTGAAAAGGTTAGTGGGGGTTAGATCAGCAAGGTCGTCAATTGTAGTTTTCTGCAACAGAGGTAAGTTGGAGATTATTTCATCTGCTATACCAGTAAAATAGTCGTTGAAGTCGTCAGGCGACGATGAGGATGCCGGAGCATGACTGGAGGGTCTATGTTGATTTACTATGTCCCACGCGGCTTTGCAGGCATTGGGGGAGTTCAGAATGGCTTGAGCATTATAGAGTTTTTTGGCAGTTTTGACTTTAGAACTGTAATCTCTCTTTATTTTAGTGTAGAGGGAGAAATAATTGGTTTTCAAAGCAGGGTCATTAGTTGAGTTGTAGTGGTCATGTACTATAACCATTAGAGATCGCAGGTTACCTAATTCTGGGGTATACCACTTTTTACACGAGAGCTTGGGGGACTTAGGCCTAGTGTCCTTGGACTTATTTTTTACTGTTTTAACAGGGAAAACAGAGTCAAACTCCATCTGGAAAAGATCTGAGAAAAGAGTGAAAGCATTTGTAGCATCAGAGGCAGCATATATCATTTCCCAATTAACACCCTCAAAAATATCACATAGGTCTGGAATGCTATCCTGATCAATAGTTCTTTTTTCTACTTTATACAAGTCTAACCAGTGAGGTATGTTGCTTACCTTGGTTACATCAAGCGTAAGGACTAGTCCCCCGTCGTGATCACCAACATGTGATGGAATAACCTCTGACTTCAAATCCCAAGAGTCAATGTTTGATGCCGCAGTGTCCAGGCAAGCTTCTCCTCTTGTTGGGAGTCTAGAGGTGATGTAGAGTCCAAAGCTGCGGAACAGGTTTACAAACAAGGCTTCATCAACTGAAGGTCTCTCTAAATGGACATTGAAGTCACCACAAACTATCAATTTGGCTGACTTACTTGATCTGGTAAGATGACTTAGACATAGGTCCATTTGGTTAAGGAAAGCATCAAAGTCGCCATCAGGGGATCGATACACGGTCACAATAAGTGTGTTAATATCTAAGATTTCCACTGCCGTTACTTCAAAAACAAGTTCAATGCAGAAATTATCTAAGTTTATCTTTTTGCATGAGAATGATTTGGCAGCAAATATGGCAACCCCACCATTTTTAAAACGTTTTTATTAGGTCGCTTTCTTGTCCGCTACAAATTTTGCAACCGATTTTATACTAACTTCCCGATGAGCTACTGACTTGAAACTTGAAACATATCTCACAAATGGAAGACAATGCAATATTATACAATTTAATTTTCATATTTCCCTTGGGCTACGCCCCATGGGCTTGTTTTTATTAAATCGATTTCTTGCAAATTTTGATACTTCCCGATGAGCTAGAGACTTGAAATTTGAAACATAGCTCACAAATGGATGACATTGCAATATTATATCATTTAATTTTCATATTTCCTTTCGGGCTACGCCCCATGGGCTTGTTTTTATTAGCTAGCTTTCCTACAAATTTTGATATCAATTTTAAACGATGTTCCCGATAAGCTAGATACTTGAAATTTGAAACATAGCTCACAAATGCATGACAATGCAATATTATATCATTTAATTTTCATATTTCCCTTGGGCTACGCCCCACTGGCTTCCATATTTTCTATGTTTACATTTTGTAAGAATGTAAATATATCAATTAATTTAAGTCAGCTGTAAATACTTAAATTTGACAGTTCGAAGAGCAGAAGTTAAGAGGTACAGGTTCTGCTCCCAAGAGATATTTTATACAAACAAACATCTCAAAATAAAGATAAACAATCTGATTACAGATATAAAGGTGTTTGTTAATAATGTCATTTGTTATTTGTTTAGTATTCTATAAAGTAAACAATAAATTAAATAGATTGATATACTGTATTTATAATAGTTAGTAGGTAGGCCATACATTCAATCTAACTTAATACATAATTATATGAAAAGAATCTCAAATAAACCTTAGATTTCCCACATTCCTCTGTCTTAATCTGATATAGATGCATGAAATAGATTTAACATCCTCATACATTAAAAACTAAAAAGTTGAAAATAATTTAAAAATAAAAAACTTTTTTAAAACAAAACGTTTTTAAACGCCCTAAAAAGTATAAAATAATTTACAAATAATTTATAAATATGTTGAGAGAGTATAAATACTTGTACGATTTAAAACGAAAAACGTTGGGTGCATGCAATAGATAGTTTACCTTCACCTACTGAACTAATGTATTATTATCAATTAATTGCATGCACCCAACGTTTTTAGTTTTAAATCGTACAAGTATTTATACTCTCTCAACATATTTATAAATTATTTGTAAATTATTTTATACTTTTTAGGGCGTTTAAAAACGTTTTGTTTTAAAAAAGTTTTTTATTTTTAAATTATTTTATGTTTTATGCGAGAAAAGATATTTGCAAGTTCTAGATCACACACAGAGTGAAAAAATTCAGACTCACCAGGTTGTAGCCAGTGTTCCGCAACACAAAGGAAGTCACAGTTTGCTTCTTCAATAAATTCCGTTAGGAGATCAGTTTTATTTCTCAAACACTGGACGTTTAGCACCGCCACTTTTACACTCACAGGCGCTTTCTTATGATGTGTCTGTAGGTTAGGCCTGCAAACACTGACTACATCGGGGGTTAGGTCTAGGTTGTCAGAGTCCTGTAGATCGTTCTGCCTAAAAAAGGCTTCTGATTGTGGTTTCTGTTGCGGCCAGATGGGAGGAAGTGTCGAACTAAGACACCCTTAGGCCAAAAGTTTGGGTCTAAGATCAGTCTAAATCATATCGATCTATGACTTCTAGGGGTCTGCTTTCAATAGGAATCATTTAAATGCATTCGATATTATATTAATTAATATAAGAAATTAAAAATAAGCCTACAAATAATGAACCTGAACTACAGTACCGGTAACCAAAACCAACCATGTAAGTTATGTACCTACAGTAGATCTAAGTTAGGCTTAGAACAAGTTTATAATGTTCGGCCACCAATCAGAATGTACCGAGCCCTTAGCCCATGATTCAATGCGAAAGCTGAAGCTCGACTATCACTGTAGCCAAATGATTACTTTAGGCACGAGTGAAACTAATGAAATGAAGAATGAGGCTAGAAATGTAACAACACGCCATTGTTATTCACACACACTGCAGTTTCAGCGCATTCCACAACATATTCTGCCAAGCCACAACGTCTGATTTAGGATGATTGTAGAATTATGGAATGAGGCAGAAATAGTCTAGGAGGTCACAGAAGAAACACTTAAGGGCGTTTTAATGGATAATATTAGTTTTGAGATAAGTTAATGCCCTATAATGTTGACATTTAAATAGGAATATCATATTCCAATCAATATCCGTAATATTTATATAGGATATGTATTTCAATACAAAACAATTAGCCTAATCCATAAGTACCGGTAACTGAAAACTTGAGATGATAGATATTTAAAATTGCCAATTAACATCTTGGAGTTTCTTGGTTCCCGGCTTGAGATCCATATGCTAGTATCTAATTATATTTAATTTAATGTAGTTTGTGGCTTAGTTATTAGTGTTACGGGATGCCAATTTTTGAATAGTCGGCAGATAAGATTGTCATTGTCATCGATTGCCAGTCATATTCTTAAAGATTGCCAAAATATTTATACCACAAAACCGTCTGTAATACTGTTACCTAATATTATTGGCCTAAAATTCCACAGCTGCTTAGTTATCAGTATAAAGCTAACTAATTAGCGATGAGTAAGTCTGTCAAGTTCATTTGAAATTCTCAACCGCAGATTTGGTGTAGACTATAATATTGGCCTGTTCAGCCAACAGAGACAATTTTGATTCAATGTCTCTCTTATAGACTTGTTAACCCTCCGTGTGTCCCTAGTTTTGGCCTTAATGTTTGCCTATTTTTTGCGCATTTGCAAGGTTTTATTAAAACGGATCTGAGAAGCTTAAAAACAATGTTAATTATACTGTTCTATATACCATTTTGTTTGGAAAATCATAGGCTTCAATAGGCCTACTATACATAAAACATAAGGAACATTTGTTTCAAAAAAAATTTTAAGTAGGCTAAAAAAAAATATTTTGGAAAATTTTCAAAAAAAAAATAAGTTTGCGCTCAATGAAATTGTATAAATTATAGTCCTATAAATATTTGAAAATAGCCACTTTGTTCTAAATTTTATGAGGATTACAAATATATAATAATATAAGGAAGTAGATTTGCAAATAAATAAGTTATGGGCAAAAACAGATTTCAGTACATAGCGTTTAGCTAAGAATGCATAGCCTAACCATAGCTAGGAATCTGGCTGATAATTTACATCAATATCACTACCTACTTCTTCAGGATCATCAACCAGCCCTTCAAAATCACTTAAATCTTCTTATAATGCACCACGTATATCACTACTTTTGATTTTTAACACTAAAACAATGATAAACGTAATAAAACACATCAGTCATCGGTGCGAGGTTAACCAAGCTGTTTACAAATACGCACTTCAGCTGTCTGCTACAATTATGATCGGCTCGAGAAAAAAAAAGCGCTTAGAGACAGACCTCGGGAGAAAGCTTAGAATCTGCCAAATAAAACGATACCTAACTCGATCCAGTTCAATCCGATTTTGTCAGTCATAGAGCCTTCGCCGTTAACAGTGTTTGTGAGTCGAAAAATCGACACAAAACACTACACAAAGTGTGTTATGTGTTGATTTTTCGACACATAACACTGTGAGGGTTAAATAATTCGAATAGTTTTAAATCTGTAACTTAAATCTGTAGGTCTACCTACTCCACTCCTAAACTCGTTAACCTACTAGGCCTAATTGTTTTCATCTACTTTTTCTAGGAGACATTCAAGCCGGCTTTAGATTCACAAGTGATAATATTTAATTTGTCAACGATTTTTATTTTGCTAACATATTCAATTAGGCTACATACCCTGATCACTTGTAATTTTTTTCAGGTAAAGACATCCAAAATAGATGGACTAACATACGGGATACGTATATGAGGGAGATTAAGTATGAAAAGAAAGTGCAGAAGGGCTTGGCATTGCCAAAAAAAAAGTATAAATTTTCTCATCTTTTAGGATTTTTGGATCAATCCAAGCAGATAAAGGATAAAGGGTAAGTACATTTTGTAGACATGCTTAATCCAAACCATTTACAAAGTAAAATAAAATATCTATTGGCTACAAAAGTACGGTAGAAAAATCTTTTGCTTGTTTTGCTAACTAACTGACTGAAAAATGAATGATGCTTGAGGCAGCTTGGCCCTCAAGCAGTGTATCCTCACGGACACAACAATAATCCCGCTTAGCGGTTTGAGAAAATCTATTTTTATCCTGCTTTTGAATCATGAAAAATCCTGATTTATTCCACAAGATTGTTTGTTCAATCCCGTTTGTTATATTTTACGTATCATGTTTTAAATAGCCTAGCTGTTTAAACATTGCCATTATGTTTTGTTACAGTTATTTAATCAAAGATTAATCTTACTTAATCCTGTGTTGTTCCACTTCAGTACTGTAGTTTTTATTTTGTACAAGCAGTGTCATTCAACTAAATAAAGGTTGTTTTGTCTACTTCTAAATGTGTCTCACTGAACCCACTCACTACTGTCACTACGAACTAGATCGAATTTGATGTTTCTGTCAACAGAAATTGTTAGGTTAATTCAATGACCTGCCAAAAATTACAGGTTAATAACGGTGATGTATGTGGGTTGTCAATAAATTAAGGTCTACAAACAAACCATTCCTAAAACGTCTTGAAAGAAAAAATTCTTGGATCCGCCTATGAGTAGTTATTACTTTATTAGGCTTTTAAAGTAATCTTGTAAGGAAAGCTTTTCATTCAAAAATCTATTAAAAAATTAAAATACCTTTTTGTTCTTTTTCAGATCGGACCAAAGCAGTACTGACATTGAGGAAAGCCCAGTGAAAAATGAATCCAAAGTGTTAAATGTTAACATTGTTGATCTGAAAAATCAAACTGAATCATTGTATGCGGATTCAGACGGCAAGAACAATCAGGGACGAGGGAGTAACAATGGAAGAGCCAAGCGATTTAAGCCAAACAATGATCTCTCAAGTGTACAGTTCAACATGCAATCCGACAGTTCTACGATGGACTCTGACAGCAACAATCACACACCGATCCGAGAAGAAACGAACAGAGGGAGGCTAAATATCACATCAGAAACATCCAAAAATGGTGAACCGTCCAATCAATCTGTTCAAGAATATTATCAAATCAATCCAGAGTACCTGTCACCATCTGTTGAAATAAGTTCCGGAATCTCCCTTCCTTTAGAACAAGATGATGATAAGATGTTTGTTCTTTCATTGCTTCCTTACTTCAAGAAGCTGAATGAAGAACGGAAACTCGCTGCAAGAATAGAAATGTCTACACTCTTGCAGAAAATGATTTACAAGAAGTGTTAGAAAATGGAATACCATTTTATATCAAAGATAGATATATGTATTTTTTCAATGTTGGCTTAGTCATGATAGTGATATTTTTACACTTATAGCTCACAGTCTAAGATTTTCACATGCATTTACGTATTGTTGTTAACAAGTAACTAGGCCTAGTGGATATGTTACCAAGAAGTAACATGGATGAAAACTTATAGAAATTGGTGCATTATGAATCGGTTATTATTTATTGTTCCTTTATCATTAGTTTGTAATATTGTTTTGTTAGTAACACTATGTGATAGTTGTTAAGGACTTCTTGTACATTATTGATTATACAAATAGTTTGTTAGAAAGGACATTAAACTGTAAAATATTTTCAAGATGAATATAAGATACTATTTCTAAAATAACGTACAATCTTTGACTAATAGTCAATGGTACAACTAGTTGGTCGTTACAGCTTGTAATGGTATTAAAGCCTTTTAGTCACGAAAGTTACATAAATCACTGGTACAATCTTCTCATCATACCATCAGATACTAATCATAAGATATTTAGAAATCTTAGTTTCTAAGAAGGTTCATTTTGATGATTAAACTTTCTTAAAAATGAAGGAAACCATCTGGGATGAGTTGATAATTTTTTTGTTAACAAACATTTTTTACACAATAGTTAACATTTTTATAACTTTGTGTTTTGGGGTTAAAACTGAATTTGAATCTGAAATTTAGAATATACAGGGTGGAAATAAAGTCCCGGGGCTGTTTGTACAACAGCTGATTTTTACTCCCTAGAGAGTAAAAATGCTACTTTAGACTGCAGCGCATGCATTTAAAACGGTTGTTTTTGCTGCAGTATGACAACAAATAATTTTAACACAATATTTAGTGATGGGCAACCTCCCCAGAGAAACGCCTGCTAGGAGTCAGAAGAAAATGTTAAATGTAAACATAGGTTAATATGCAGATCAAATTTCTGTCTTTGTTAGTAAAATACAATGCCGCAAACCCAAAATCAAACGAACAATTGAGTCAAAAATGAAAACTTTTCAAAGATGCATTTAATTTGCCTTTACTGCAATACCTCCTCAGGGGTGCTCCCGCTAGAAGTCGGAATAAAATCATAAACGTATGCATAGGTCTATCTATACACATGCACATTAAATTAGAGGTCTTAAATAGTAGAATACAATGCCGCGAGTTTGATCAAAGAAGGAGTAAAGAATGGCAGCTGTTCAAAGATTTAAAATGGCAAATTCAAGATATCTTTGAACGGCTGCCATTTTTGACTCGGTTTTTAAAACCAATAGATTTCAAATTTGCAGCACTGTATTCTACTAGCAAAGGCCTTTAGTTTGATGTGTGCATATCCACCTGAATTTTTTTTTTTAAAGAGGTTGGCGGCCTCTACCTAGACCTATGTTTACATTTAGGATTTTCTTTTGACTCCTAGCGGGCTGTCCCCCTGAGGAGGTAGCGTATCACTGAATAATGTGTTGAAATTATTTTAATGCCCAGTAACTGTGTACCAAGTTTTGAAGCTCTATCTTTATTACTTTTTGAAATGTATAACTGTCCCGGGACTTTTTCCCCACTCTGTATAGCCATGAGGTTTCAGGAGGAAAAAGACAAGTTAGAGTTTTGTGTAAAGGAATTTGTGTTATGTACATAATTTAGATTTAAGAAAGTTCTTGCAAAATAAAATAAATCTGCTAGTTGCACTTGTTTTCCAATGATCATTTCAGATTAGGTATTTAGAGTGAAGGTGCGATTTTTATCATACAATCCTTTATTACAAACATTATGTAATTGAAGCTTTTTCAAATCCAAGAATTTTAGAACTATCTTTAGTTTGTCCCGGGACTTTTTCCCCACTCTGTATAGCCATGAGGTTTCAGGAGGAAAAAGACAAGTTAGAGTTTTGTGTAAAGGAATTTGTGTTATGTACATAATTTAGATTTAAGAAAGTTCTTGCAAAATAAAATAAATCTGCTAGTTGCACTTGTTTTCCAATGATCATTTCAGATTAAGTATTTAGAGTTTGAAGGTGCGATTTTTATCATAAAATCCTTTATTACAAACATTATGTAATTGAAGCTTTTTCAAATCCAAGAATTTTAGAACTATCTTTAGTTTATGGAAATATTTAAACTTTGCTTTAAGTTTATTTTATTGCATGTACTACAAAAGAGATTTCTTGAACTTTGGCAATTAAACTCGTGTCTCTCTCTTTTATTGTTCTATTTAACATACGGTAAGGTTATGCTCTAAGCCAAGGACTTAAAAGACCAGAAATAGAAGAAAAGTAAACTTAGTTTAATTTATTCTATGTACGTTTGATTACATTTATTCAAAAACCTCAGACGTTGTTCATGATGATCTAATAAACAAATAATGAAATGGTGTTGTTTTGTTTGGGAACCTTTTCTTGAATTTATTTATAGGCTTTTAGAATATAAATATGAAGTTTATGCTTGTGTAGAAGATAAATAACTGATGCATGGTAGTCCATGCTTTTGTTTCAATATTCAAAACCATTCTTCTGAAAATATTTTGCTAAAGCGAAGATAACCTTGCAAGATGGTTGTTTTAAGTGGTATGGGTTAAATGACACACCTGGTGGCGTCCCCATCTCAATGATTGATTGATTGTCTGCTTAAAGAAAAAAATTTGTCTTGCAACATATGTAACTTTACTTCAATCAGTTAAAAGAAATTGTTCTTAAGATTTTACAGTACACTTTAACTACATACACTAGGTATGTAAGTAGGTATGTAGGTATGTAACACTAGGTACATTTCTTCTTAATCACACAATGGAATTAATTTAGTGTTTCCACGTTTAGTTACATTACCGTGAAGGTATTATTCTAACTCACACAGTGATTAATAAACTTTTACCATCAACTTAACGGTTAAAAATCTGTTTGGGAAAGTGTCATCGTTAGCAGATGGAGAATCTAAAACAAGTAGATCGACAACTTTGTTGGACCTCATTCACCGTCGTATGCCAAGTACCACTTTTAGAATGCAATCTGTGCTACTCAGTTAGTACTCACCTTTTTGGACTCAGCTTCACAGTTTAAAATATCCTTAGCACCTGTACCTGAATAGCTTTGGCACGATAATTCTATTGCCAAATAACTACGGAGCATTTCTGAACAAATTTATTTGTGTCCACTTATGCGTTATTGAGAGAGAAAGTTGATGACGTAACATTTTTAATTTTGACTTTGTTGCATGTCACTGCAGTGCATTAGTTTAAAAGTAATCATAAGTTGACTACTGGCTCAATCCTGGGAAATGTTAATACAGTACCAAGTTTGAAACTGATTCCAGCTGGAATTAATTATTTACGCCACACTACATTATTTTGACGAACTTCCCACGCAAGGATTTAGTCCAGAAAACAGGTGTTTGCCGCCAGCTTATTCAAATGGGGTTTCATTGCGTACTACTGTGCTGCAATGAGTTTTGCCGGACACCAATCAGCTGATTATACTGTATTTAGGTGGCAGTGAGTGGTTATAAACAAAAACATAACCTCTCTTAGAGGTTATGACTAGTGATTATTAGTCCTTTAGTTGGTGGAAATATATAAGGATTTGTACGGATTTAGTAGTATGGCGTAAACTATCGTACGTAACTCGTCCTAAATGTGTGTACCGGACTCGTATGGTAATCCCGTACTCGACTTCGTCTCGCACGGGAACGACCGTCACTCGTCCGGTAAACACTTATTTTCAGGACTAGTAACGTAATATACTATTTCCTACTGTTACCTAACAATGTGCAGGGCCGCGTTAAGGGTCATTGGAGCCCTGGGCAAACCCAAGAGCAGCGCCCCCCTTTTTTCCTAGTGCTGGCGGGCGGTGTTGAGGGCACCTGGCAGGCGCCCGCTGGGTGCCCCCAAACCACCGGCGCCCCTGGGCATATGCCCAGTCTGCCCGTTTATAAAAGCGGGCCTGACAATGTACATGTTCTCTCACTGGATTTGAGAAAGCAAAGTGGCCAATTCGCTCATCAGTGAGACCATGTTAACATTGTCTCACTCTAATTACTTTGTCTCACTCGCTCCAGGTTTGCAAAGTGAAGGCACGAAATAGTGAGCGCGTATTATGCAGACAAGGTCTTATGCGCGCATTTGTCTATTAATAAATTGATGTGTGCTAAACAAACATAACTGCCTGTTTCATAATAAGCTAAAAACTAATATTATTGGTAAATCAGCTGATCGCCCAATGCAAATCTAATGGAAATTACAAGCAACAACTTGTAACTTGTAGTTTATTATGAAACAGCCCCCATGCAAGGCCACAATTTTAGTGTGGCCTTGCCCCATGTCTATTTCATTTGGGGTCGCTTTAGTTAAATGGGCCCGAGCCAAAGGGGCAAAAGGGGGCTTAGGTTTGTTGGGTTTACAAAGAAGAGAAAAAGTCCTCAATGAAGGGGGGATGGGGCGCGCTTATCTCGTGGGCCCGCAGCGCAGGGTTGCCACCCGTCCCGATTCTGATTCCTCATGCCCATATTTAAGCCTATATTTTAATCGGGGGGAGTGGGGCCATGTCCCGGTTTTTCCGTAAACTATGTGGCAACCCTGACGTAGCGTGTCACATGCAAACTTGGGCTTGAATTTAGTAACTAAGATACTCTTCCTTAGTAGTGAGATGGCTTGCATCTCACTCATAGGTGTTAATTTTATTAAAACCACAACCGCCATGAACTGATCTGTTCTATGTAAAGCTATGTAATATACGTAGTTAATTTGCAGATCATGTCACATTTTTAGTTACAGGTCGATAATCACAAAAATATGCTATATTTTTTCCATTTAAAAATACTTTCAGGCTCCTAAGTGATTTGCAGATATTAGTTCTATAACTAAACTAACCAAAAGAAATATTTTCCCTCTTCTTAATCATCCTTTTGACACAAATTTTTAGTTTATTCTGGTCTTGCATAAATTAACTCTGTACTCACTCAATTCAACATCAACCTGGCCAAAAAGGCTGGAGCGGATATTGTTGATAGCTAAAAAAACTGAAACAGTGGGGTGCCTAGTACTGTATAGAGTTTTATAAATAAGTGTCAACAATTTAATTTTTGGTTCAAATTCCTATTTTATGTTCACAGGAAACCTACAAAAGAGAATGTAGCCGTCCAAGTGACACCACCTCGCCGTGAAAATCAGCCAATCAACATAGCAACTCTCTCCTTCCTGGACAACCCAGACTTGGTAATTAAATGTACTATTTAAAACATTCTTTTATTGTATACAAGATGGGCTCAATTCATACTTGGCTTAAAATGAACTTTGTATGGTCGCCATTTGATTGAAAAGTATTAGAAGATGCAAATTTTATGTAGCTAACAAAAGCATTTACTGTCCAAACAGATATTGACAATGATATGATGTGAGGGCGTATGTCAATTTGCTTGAGCCAAAATAATTTGTCCGACTCCAGCGGTGTCATAAGCAATAAATGCTCTTTCGCTCTTTCCCTGGCCAAATTAGGTCGTATAGACCATTAACTGTCTTTTATTTAAAAGTAACAACCTTCTGTTACCAAAACACTGTTCTACTGTAATAGGAAATAGGACCTACTGTTTTGCCACTATTTCCTGTTTGAAAGTGAGGGATATTGCCGTGTCCAATCTCTAAAGAGTAAATATCTGTGAAGGTAACTTAACGACAAAAGATGATAATGTCGGCCCTCCAAGAGTATCATAAAACCAAACCCTAAAAAAAATATGCAAGAAAAATGGCTAAAAGCTGTAACATACACTGTAACCAAGTCAAACTTAGATGTACTCGTGTGTAACATTTCTCTCGTGCAGCAAAGTGCCACTTTGCACTCTGGTTACACAAATAACTATTGTATACTGAAGCTTTGTTCTAAAATGAAAGGCTACAGAGAAAAAAAACTGTACATTTTAATTCCCATCTTATTCTTATGGAGTAAAAGAATACTGTTGTGTTTAGCAGCAAACCTTATGTACTTGTTGAATATAATATTAAATGGGGAATAAATATTTATGGAAATATTTTAGTGAAAATCCAATCAGAATAGTCTGCAGGTTTGCTGCGGTGAGAGAATTGTGTGTGTATCTACCGTACACTGTACACTTGAGTTGAAAGAGTTTTTACTTTGTTGAATGTTGCTCATAACATAAAGGAGAATTATGATAAAATTTTAAGTACATATAATTAAATCAATGAACTCTTTCTGGGACCCCAAAAATAGGGTGGTCAAAAGTCACTTGGACGAAAGTAACAAAAGTCAAAATGATTTCAGATGTTTGTGAAGGTCCCCAAAACACCGTCACCTTTACTAAAAACCAAAGTTCTGGAAGAAGCTGACCATCTTTTGGCTGTGGCTGAGAAAGAACTGTCTTCAGTTGAGGCAAAAATATCATCTGACCGTTTATTAAGTGCCAAGTAAGACTAATCATCTGTTTTTAGTTTGTTTGGGTTCTAAACTTTAAGGTTAAAATGCACTTTTTAGCATAACACAAGCTTGATTTAGTAATGATACTTTTTGGTAAGTTTTTGTAGTTTTCTTGCAATATGGTAATAAAGGAAGTGTTAAAATAAGTTGAAAGTGCATAATATGTGACAAATTGTTTTTCCTTGCCAAATAACCTCATTAGATCCATATTAGTAAAATAATTCAGGACTGACTGTACCTTAATCTCTAAATTAAATTGAAGTTTGGTTTCGGTTTTTAAAGAAGACTGAAACATTTTATCTCTTAAAACTGTCAAAGTAAGGAAGAGGCTACAACAATAGAAAATAACTGTAAAATATTGTAACACTCAGTCTAGTTACTGGTAGGTAGTAGACTAAATATGGTAAGTTTTATCTAATCAAATCAAAATCTCCTTTATTCATAAAATTACAAGTACAATGAATAGTCAGTGAGAAAATGTATAATGGTAATGTAATGTAATCATATTATTTAACAATTAAAATTATTTTAATATAACTAATAACTGTTTCAGGACGTCTTCTTCGCAAGCGAATGGGCTCTCTGCAAGAAGGGTGAGTTTCTGTGATAATAATAGCAAATTTATTAACCCTCAATAAATTAGCATCTTTTTAATACAATGGATAATAGTTGACATTTTATAAATTCACCAAATTTGTATGTAACTTAAAGGGTCCTTAGAGGCTAGCGACCATCTTGGATAATTTCAAACAGTCGCTGAAGAGTTATTTACATCTCAAAGTATTTTTTCAAACACCAGAGGTATTGTAAGTTAAATATCTAGTAAACTGTGAGATAAGAAATTTTCTTTGTAGCCTACCGCTAGTTTTTTAATTGTTTTACGAGTTAGAACGTCTTGGCTCCGAGGAATCTTAATTGAATACAGTAGACCTGACTTTACCACTGTGAATTTTATTTGGTAAAACTGGAACATTGGCTATTGAAATTACAATTAGTTATATGATAGTAGCATTTCACTTTTTACTTCAATTTCAGATCATGGCTGCTCTACCTTTAAGCCCAACAAAAGGAAGTATTCGCAGCTCTTCTTCATTAAATAGCAGATCCAAAACTAGCTATCAAGTTCCTCCTAATTCATTATCATCTTTTAATGTTCGTGGAAATGAAGAAAACTATAAAAGGAACAACGGGGAACAGAAGAGATTAACTCATAAACTTCGTTCACAAACCAAAGATCCAAAACCAGGACGAATTACAAGTGAGTTACATCACAGTGAGTTAGAGGAAAGCAACATAAAGAATCATCCGGATGTAACTGAATTCAGCATGTTTTACGAGCAGCAAAAATTAGTAGAGAAGAAAACACAGAGCTTCGAGAAGAATTCGGCGACTGTAATTTTCAAATCAGATGCCAAAGTTGTTTCTAGTACATCAGTTGTCAAACAAGATGCTCACACAAATACTAGTCCAGTTCTGCAGAACGATCGATCCAACATAACGTTTACCCGTAACTCATCGATTATTAGTATGAAAACAAACAAACCAGAAGAAGAACAGCCTCAAATGCTATCAAGGAAAACATTAGACGTCCAAAAAATGCCTTCGGTCAATATAAGACCAGGATTCACAATTCAACATGGACCTAAAATCAACATTGTCGGTTCAAGTGTAAGTTCACACAAACTGAAGAGGAAAAATACAGAGTTTTTCGACGTGGTTTATCCTCCAAGTAGTCCTGTTTTTAGCGAGTCGTCGTTTATTTCAGATCAGGGAAGACAAAACAAACAAACAGAGTACATATGTGATAGACATTCATTCCCTAGTGGCCGTCTGGTTCCCGGTACATCAAGTGAAAATTTGAGAGAAAATCATCCAAGTAATTTAGATGAAAAGAGAGAAGTTTTAATAGAATTGATTAAATCGGTGACAGAAAAAGTGGAGAAACAGCCAAGTCGAGGGAATAAAAGCTGCTGTCGTCTAATTTGTTCTCTGCCTCTTCTTGCTTCAGTTGTGAGAAAAATCCAAGTGGATTGTGTGAAATGTGTGGACTTGCTGAACAGTCATTTAGACAGACTTTTAGTGTTGATGAAAGAAGAACTGCGAGGTAACAGGGAGATCTCGGACAACCATTGTTGCCAGTTAGACGAGACTGTTCATTACCAGATTGTGGAGCTGGAGTTGATTCAGGAGGAGAACAAGAAGAGGCAAACAGCGCCTGTAACTGTCGTGAGGCACAAAGGTTAGTAATTTAATTTGCTCACTGATACCTCTTAAAAGTTTTGACAACATACTTGGTAACTTTACGAAATGAAACAACAGACAAATTAAAATGATAGTTCATTAGCCTATACCATTTGATTCAATTTTTTTCTTGAAGCATGTAAACAGAAAAATTAGTATTGAGGAAATGACATCTGTTAACATTTATTATTAGTTGATGGTTAGAAGAGAGAAATGTGAAAGGTTAAACATGAGATTTGTATTTGTAAACTTGTTTTACAAAGACATTTGCCATTCTAAACTAAACCCTGTAAAAAAAAGGCATACAGCTTCAGGCTTGTTATTATATGTAAAAAAAAATAATAAAAAAAAAACAGAAATAGGAATATTCATTTAGTATTGATAGAAAATAGAACATGCAATGTCTATTTTTGTTTTAATGGGTATTCAAAAGATTATCAAAAATATGTTTTTACAATACCCTCTTGAATATCACCCCTTTTGTAATGATAACGAACACGTTTTTGTCTGCTTGATAAAAATTTCATAATAATTACAATTTGCTCTATCAAGTGCTGGTCAAAATAAATAAAATACTTTGTAGAGCTTAAGTTCACAATTTTCTTCGATACATAATGAACGTGACTTTAAAGATTTTTATAGTTTGAAATTGGTTTTGCAAATTGATTTAACATATTAAGTGACAAACAACTTAATACAACAAGTGTAACATGACTTCTAATTGACATTATTGAATAAACTTGTTACTGAACTCTCAATAATTTTCCAAATAAAATTGTATTGTTTACAGATGAGAATTATCATGGAAACACCTGATTTAGTTAATCTATTTCACTGACTGGCTTATAATAACGTACATTTTTATACTGTAAAAGTCAACTCAACAAAGAGAGCTCCAGCAAGATAGTTAATTTAGTAACCAATTCAAAATTTACCATACAGTTAAACAGTTGTAATAGTTCAAATAAAACTATGTGTGGAATCTTTGTTTATTTTTTTAGATTTCATTATTTTATTTAGAAAGTGTGAAAGGGAAAATCTTTTGGTTTTTAGCGAATTTCCCTATAGGGAAGTAGCTATTACCGTAGGTCTCATGGTAAGACCTAAGCCCGGGACCGATTTACTTTTTCATTTTGATGTCCCCAGAGGCCAAAAACACCATTCGTTCAAATTTTTATATATATATATATATACATATATATGTGTCCATCCGCACGATAACTTGAGTAATTTTTGTCCGATTTTGATAAAATTTGGTTTGAAGGTGTAAGGCAGAATAAACTTGAATGAGTTCGCGAACCAGCATGATCGGACTATGGGAACGGGGGTTTATAGGGGGTTTTATGGGGTAAAAATAGGTTTTTCCCATTTTTGACCCTAAAAACATGAAATTTCACAATTTATTTTCAAACCATTTTGTAGAGCTTAAAAAAACAAATAATTTAGTATATTGAAGCGTTATTATGCGCCTATTTGTTATGGAGAAAATTCAAAAAAATTGTAATTTTGAAATTCCCATGTTATTCTTATGGAGAATAAGTCAACTGTTGTAGTTTGCTTGTTTATGAACATATTTTGATCGATTTTGGAAAATACTTTTATTTCTTACTAAACTATTATCAATTTATAAAAAAAACTTTTTTACCCTCCCTGTTGCAGCAAACCTAAGTACTCGTTAAACTTATTCTATTTAAATAGGAAATAAATGTGCTATTTTTATGGAGGCATTTTAATGTAAATTGTAGTTTGCTTGTTTATGAACATATTTTGATCGATTTTGGAAAATACTTTTATTTCTTACTAAACTATTATCAATTTATAAAAAAAACTTTTTTACCCTCCCTGTTGCAGCAAACCTAAGTACTCGTTAAACTTATTCTATTTAAATAGGAAATAAATGTGCTATTTTTATGGAGGCATTTTAATGTAAATTTAATCAGGTTAATGGAAATTCGCTTAGTCTGCAGGTTTGCTGCGGCGGGGGTATTTCCAAACTAGTTTGTTTTTTAATGTGTAAACAGTAGAATCCGTGTCTCAATACGCAGGATATTTATCCCAAAAACTTGGATTTTTAGACCATGTGGGGTATTGAAACGGAATGCAGGTTGAAATGGAATTTTAGTCTCTGACACCTGGTTTTATTTTTATTGCAAGGTTTAGACACCTATTTTAACATAATACCACTTGTCACTAGTGTTAGCACTATATGAATTTTTACTAAATTCGTAGAGAATTTTTTATTATATTAAAGCGGGATAAAACAAGATTTTTCCTACCACTGCATGGGAATGATCACATTGCCATACCTAGTAAACAGTATACATGATAGCTGATTGCCACTCTAACTGATTTCACAGTTGTCGTTTGTATAGCAACCACAGCCGCGGATCCGTTACGTTATTCAACAATCGGTAAATAACACATCCTTAAAAAAGCAATCATAACCAAAATGGCATTTTATGTACATCTAAAAAGTTAATCTGTGTGTTATTACAAGTTAATTATGGTGGTAGGAAAAATCTTGTGTGTATTACGAGCAGAAACAGTCATTGCCGCTCTCGAAATGTATGGCCAAAAACCCCACATGTAACCACCATGGTGTGTGTGTGTGTGGATTTGTTGATGTATGTATGGACTGAGACAAAGCTTCGTGCGGCCATCTACAGTTCTCGAGCGGCACAGGGCCGGCCCGAGGGTGGGGCCAGCGGGATGCCGCGGCTTTGGAAGGTAAAAATTTAACAACTTTATCGGCAAACGAATATTTTACGGGAAACTCGTAAACATGTAATCAATGACAATGACTCTAAAAAAAAGCAATCTATAGCTTTTGTTTTATTCATAAAATAAATACCATTATATAATATACAACTCGTACTATCACTACCTACTTTTAAGTCTGGCATGTGACTTGTTGGCAATACTGCGAGTCCAAGACACACACACTGGGTATTCGCCCACACGCCCCACCTACACTTGCTTGTTTCCAACCTCAAAGCTCAAACTCTTACTTCAACTCATGGTCGTTTCGTGACGTCCGTTGTGAGTCGTAAATTCAATGTTTTTAGTGATTTAGTTCGAAGGGTAGTTGTTACGTTTATAAAAATTAGTTGCAAAACGTTTGATACTTATATATCGGACATTGGGTCTATAGACGCAAACCCCATAAATACCTTTTTAGGGGAGGGGTGAAAATTTAAATCTCGCCTCGGGCGTCTATTACCCTCGGGGCGGCCCTGGAGCAGCAATGATGTACTTTGCACTCTTAATACACGTATAGCTATTCTTAATCTATTAAGTGGCTTTTTGTTTTGGTTGTGTGGAGACATTGAGTAGAATGGACAACTCAAATTATAATTGAAAAAATATCTAGTTTAGTCAACCTTCAACGACATAAACAGTTACCTTACCTTAACGGTGACCAAAACTAGTTTAAGGTAGGTTATTCTTTCCAGTAACCCTGACCTGTCCAATTCCTTACGGCAAAGGACTACGGAACCTCCTACCCTCCATCACCATCAACTCCATTTTCCGAGAAATTCTACGTTCTTGTAACCAAACCACATTTTGACTTTAATTTGTATACTCTCTCTTATGCTACCTATAATTAACTATACATTGTATTCTGATATCTTCATTCCTGTAGACTTAAACTGTAGCCCTTAAAATTTAATTTCTCCTGTTGGTTCAGTTCTTATTCAGTTATTTTTCCTCTACATTTCAACCTTCCTCCTCTAAGTAACTTTGGACAATGTAATGTCTTTAACATGCAATTCAAACATTCCATATCTTATGAGTTTTTAAAGTTTAAATCCTCTCTCTTACTTAAAAATTTACTGAAAAGTTAAAATTAAAGTTATTTTGACAGGTTTAATTCTAATATACTGTTTTATTTCTCATAGAGTTTGTTGCTGATGTTAGAACTCCCAAGAAATCAGTCTCTTTTGAATCGATTCCCGATGAGTTAGCTGAACAAACTAATACAGATACTAGTAAGCAATCCCGAACAATGAATATTATTAAACATTCAAGCCAAAAAATTGTGCCTGCGACTTCTGGGAAAGTATCAAAAATATCTTCTGTTCAACCAGCCACAACCAAAACAATACAAACGGTTAATAGGTACAATGATAGTGAAAAAAATACTCCAACATATCAGAGAGAAGTTAAGCAAACAAATAACAATCGTATGAATCCTAAGAAGACAAATACTTCTTCCAATGCAAAAACCGTTGTTGGCCAAGTACTAAAAAATCTGACCCAAAGGAAATCAATTCTGAAACATAATGAAATTACAACAAATTCAAGGTCTGGAACTGCCGGAGAAAGAAGTAAAGTACTTAATTCTTATGTAAAAATTGTTGATCATAAGGAAACAACTTCTGAATTTGAAAAATGGATAGAGGAACGAAGCCTTAAAATAAAACAGATCCATGATGAATTGAACAAAATGGTGGAAGGCTCGATGGAAAGATATTTGGAAACACATGCTCAGAAAGATGAAAATGTGAGATTATTAGAATCATCTAACAGTCGAATAAGAGATGAAACCTGTATGAAGGAACCAGAAGAAACAGACGAAAGGAGGTAATTTTTCTTGAGTTATTCTATAAACGGTTTTTACATTATAAAATTAAAATCTTCACCTAGGCTACATTTAAAAAAGCATATTGGTAAAAAAGTATTTAGTAAACTAATGAATAATGATTGTATCCTGGTTATAAATACTATAAAGTTAGTAATCCAAACTCTAAAGAAGGAGTTGAACTAGAATGTATACAAATGTTTGTGATAACCATTTGGAGGTGGAAGTTCCTAGTCAATAAAATGTGTCACAAAACATTTTTATATGTTCAAACTCCAAACACAGCTTAAAGCAGAGAAGTTGCTGTGATTTCAAGTTTTTAAAATTTAATGTTGGCTAAGACATTTTAGGAAATTTACATAAACTTATTTGTTTTAGAGACATTAAGCCGCAAGATGTTGAAGAGCAACAAACCAAGAATCGACAAATCGCAGATAATGTCTTTGAATCATCTACACAGGTATAATTGACATCCACTACATTTATATTGTCATCTTAAAAGTCACATTTTTTCACTGTCTGAGAATATAGGTTTGCCAATTTGTTTGCTAGTAAAATGTATATTTTTAGAACATTTTTCGCTCTGGTATATACTATTATTATCTATTAAAAAAAATAATTCTTTAAAGCGCAAAATGCCTTTGTTTTCTGAAATAGTTTTAGTCAAAAATGTATTGGCGTGGTAAAACTGGAATCTCTAATTTTTTTCCTGAGATTTTAATATACTCGTACATTTTTTTTAAGACAACCACTTAGATAAACAAGCTTTAAGTTTTGTTAAAATAAAACAGATAAATCTGTTATTGTATTATTAATGTTCATGGCCCTCCCTAGGATGACCTTCAAGATTATGAGGAAGATTTTGAAGAGGATGTTGAGGAGGGGACCAATGTGAATAGCACAGGTGAGTATTTTACCAAACCTTCATCGTTGATTCAATAATGCCTACGTTTATTGCACAAATTTAAAACTTCTATTTTATCCTCCTCAAACTGCCTGTCATTGCCATTTCTTTATGCCTATCAAAAACTGTAAGAACACCGCAACAGAGTTGGAAAACCAAGGCTGGAAAGATAGAAAAATAACTCCTCTCAAAGAACTTAGGTATAAACATATTACATTTTTTTAGGTCTACTGTATGGACATCGGCCAATAACTTCTTTATTGTAGTTCTTGGAGCAAGTATGTCAAACTACAAGTCGGATTATCTAGGGAAAATTTGATTTTCTGTATACACCAAAGATTTAGATTGATGTACAGAATTTTTTGTTAGTTTACTTAACTGGTTGAATTTGAACATAGAAACACCACTCAATCTTTCACCATTCATTATACGGATGTATTATCTTCTCAAGGGTTATTTTGGGACGAATCTCTTCATTGGATACCCAACTGACTGAATCACATTAAGATAAGTATAGTAGACCCCCTCCTAACCGACCCTAACAGGACCGGACCTAGGTCGGATTAGGATAACTCGAAAGGCCTGTTAAAACGGACAATCTCTAAAAAACTTTCAAAATGAAGTGTTATTCGTTTAGAAATCAGCGGTTAAACCGAACTGCTCTCAAAACAAGGTCGGTTGAAAAAAACTGTAATATTTCACAAGTGAGAGCAGTTAATCCGATGTTTGGCAAATGCGAGGTCGGTCAAGAAGGCGTCTACTGTAGTCAATATTTAAAAAAAGTAATACAATACTTATGGATTATTGTTTTGCATTCCACAGGTTTAGAGCAACAATCTGGTAGTGAGGCTGAAAAAGAATCATCCGAGTCAATTATTGAAGAAATCGTCACTGTCGAGGAGCCTATTGTAGGAGAAACTGCAGTAACTATTCAAAAGCTATCTAGTAAAGTCTCAAATATGATCATAGGGGGAAAAGAATCTCTTGAACAACCAGCAGAAGTAGAAGTTGATATAAACAAGGATGTTAAATTGTCACCTAATCAAAATATTTTAAACAATCAAACTGAAGCAATGACGGAAAAAATTAGTATAGAAACATCCCCTATCAATTTTAATAGCACATCTAAAAAAACAGATGCATCTGTGAACACATCCTTTGCACTAATTGAAAATACAAAAGTAACGGTAGCGACATCTCCTATTATTCAAACTGAGAAATCTTTGCCACACCTGAAATCTACAACAGTGCAAACTGTGAATTTAAGCGACTCGGAGACAAAAAGTGTGACATCAAATAGAATTAATGTAGGTGAAACAGATCTTACAGTCCCTTCTATGAGATTGACTCCAAAGCCGATCGAAAATATATTTAATATCACCTTGGGGGAAACGAAGGAAAATTCTGTAGCATTGCAAGCAGATCAATCTAATCAGACTTTTAAACTAACCGTTCAGCTTCATGGTTCAGATAAAGAAAACAAAAAGATAGTGGAACTAGATAGTCCAAATGAAAGTGGGAAAATATTGTGCTACCCAGAGGGGAGATCTGAAAGTGACCAGAAGTCCAATACAAATATCTCAACAAATGTGAGAAATCAGAGCTCTACTCAAAGAGGAAGTAAATTTTATGATACGGCAGAAAGAGAGAAAATCGATGAACAAACAATTAAGAGCATTATTGAACCGACTGTTTCTGAGGTGCTGAAGAAAATTAACACTGAATCTTCACATCAGAATGAAAGATCACACCCGATTTCAATGGCAGATACTATTTCTAGTCTTGTGAAACCAAATATTATCTTACAAACCAAACATGGACTGTGGCAGAAGTGCAATGAAAATCCTTTTCCCAATATTGAATTAGAGCAGCCCAATCCAAAGGTGGATTCCTCAAATCAGACAGAGGCGGAGAAACAGAATGTCTCGGTTCAAGCAGTCGACAGCGGAACAATCAGCTGTGAGGATAGACCAGCTGATCACTGTGAGGCTAGACCAGCTGATCTCACCAGAGGCTACTTGGAAATGCTTCTTCCTCTTCCTCCTTCATCCTTGGGTACAGTCACCAGTTGTACACTCTCTCACTCCTCCACTTGTGGATCGAGTTCCAGGTCTTCATCTACTTCCACTTCATCAAACAGAAAGTACGAGATCTTGCGGAATTCGGTGAGTACGTTTCACAACCATAATCTAAGTAGTAGCGGCATTTGTACATATAGATTTATTTGTATGTTTTAATTTCAATCTTATTTTAAAATTTGTAAAGGCCTACATATTATATAGGGTGACCCAAGACGGGGCTGATATTTTTTATATTATTATTAATATACCAGACACATCGAACATGCTACAACTTGAAACTTCACTGCTGCAACAGACACATGTAAAAAATCACCCTGAGTACCACTTGCTTCCGGCCAATCAGGAAAAAATGGCAGAAAATCAAAATGATGGTGTGTTTTCATTAAAGTAATTTTATTTGCAAAATCATTTCAAATTAATTCTCGTTTAAAAGAAATGCATCTTAACCCTTTGTGGTCTGTTATGAAGTATCCATAATTTCTTTTCCGGTATCTTAGGCCACTTATAGTGCCCAGAACCATTCTTCAGTCAAGTATTGGCGGTTACACCTCACGTCTGTTCCTCAGATACGCTAGGCCACTCATAATGCCCAAGTTGTAAATTTGTCTGTAGGCCTAAAAAAACTATCATTCTGTAGTTCCCTGGAAGGTACTGCACTCTGCTTAACGTTTATTTGGTACTACAAATACTTCATTCATGCTAGTGTCTAGCAGTCCGTTTTAGGAATTACACTCAACGGAGTAGCGGTTCTCATTGGCCCCAACTTATACTATCTTATATATTTTTATATTTGTGCAGTTAGGATATAGTATGTTCAGTTTGTTTTTATCTAAGTTGTGAAGTCATCTAAATTTTAGTACATCTGAAAGCCTGGTTGCTAACTGATTCACGTGACAGATGTTTTATAGTAAAAATGTTAATTTTTACTGACAACTGTATACTGTGTTCTTTTACCTTGTGCCATTATTGAAAATGAAAATTTTCCAGGAGAAGCTATCAGACGGTGAACTATTGCCAGAACCCTGCGGCTGCAAAGTTGGCGAGGTTTGCCCAGTGTGTGTCCCACGGTTAGACCTCAGCTTTGGAGAGGTCAAGACAAAGAAGAGAAGCAGCAGAATGGAAAATGACTCGTCCTCGGGCTCAAACAGACAAACGTCGGTGCCACTTTTAAACCTACCTCTTCATCTGGAGCCTAGACCAAGTTCTGTAAGGATAACTAGAACATCAGAACTGAGTGATGTGACAAAGTCCAACAACTTACCTAGCGATAAACTTGCAAATTATATGACCAAAGTAAGAGACAACCTTAGCGTCGCTGGAAAGGTAGAAAGGAAAAATGTAAAACACTTCTCGGAGGTAGCTCAGTCAGTGCTGGACGATTTGGGAAAAGAACTCTCGACTTTGGGTAGCGTAAAGTACACTTTTCCAAAGCCATCTCCCTCAATATCAGTGATCGATCCCTTGAAAAACCCAATGGATACGTCTTCATCCGACTCTACAAAGTCTCAGAAAGGTTTGCGTTCAAAGAGGAATAAGCAGAAACATTCTTTGGTGATAAAGAAACCAGTGGAAACTCCGAGAATAGATGTGGTCATTGAAGATGAAGAGCTTTCAACTTCCTCTTATCAGACTAGCGTGACAAGTGTCAGCGTAGATCAACTCCCAGAAGTATCAAGCCATTCCAGCGCTGATGCATCCTCTTGACTGTCTAAGTTTTAAAAATACTTGGAGCTTGTCAAATGTACACGGAGTCAACAGCCAACAGCAAACGAAAAAGAATACTGTACAAACCTTACTATGTACTTTTTAAGTATACACATGTGATGTTTGTCATTTAGTAACTAAGACTGAAAGTGACATCCCGTTTCGGAGATAAAATATATTTTTGTACTTCAATCTCAGTATCTATCTTCAGAAATATTTTTATGTTAAGAATATTTAAATACTCTCAAAATGTGTGACATAGTTTTTGTAGCTTTTTTAGTTTTATAACAATAATTTCAATAAACACATACCAAAATATATTTTATAATGTGTTTACACCTATGTTACGTAAATGAAATAGTCTTATGGCGTCAGTTCTCCAGGAGACTTATAGTAAAGGTAGGCTAATAATAATCCCGTCATCAGACATAAAAGGAACTACCACGAGTCAAAATGGTGTCTCAACTGAATTTTTGTCTCAATATTGATTGAACTAGACATTCTATTCTCATGTTAAAGCTCGCCAGTTTTTAATTAAAAATGGACATAGGTGAAGTGTGCCACCGACAGATAGCACTGATATGAATCACTGAGTTTTGACGAATATGCAGGTTTTTTAACACAGTAAAACTGATAGGACTACGTTTTTTAAGCTATAGCATCCCCTACAGTACAGTTTGGGCAAAACTTCTGTGCGTGCGGATTGTTAGCTTAGGGCCGAACCAAAACATACGGGTGCGAGTAATTAGCAGAGCTGTGGGTAGGGGTGAGTGAGTCACGCTGAGTAGCAAGACACAAATATTTCACAAAAGTACCCCCCCCCCCCCCCCACATAGACCAGACCAGTTCTGGCTGTGCACACAGAAGCTTGCCAAACATAGTCATGAACAAAGAAAAAGGACGAAAATAGGATTTTAGGCACTAACACAATATTGTTTAGTAAACAATTTGTGACAGCTTGTCCACAAAGATGGGATGTCTATTTCAGTATACAAAAGTCAATAGCTTAACGATTGCGCTTTAGAATTTCCATATGAATCAGCTCAACTACACAACACAAATTAAGCAGTGCATACTTGCCATTGAGAGATTTACTTAGCTTTGTAAGTTGTAACAACAGAACTGATTATCAATTATCAATCAATTATTTAAGATGGGGACGCCACTATGTACGTATTTTAACCCAAATATGAGTGAAGGATGAGTGTAGGATGAGTGGCGCGATCTTGTAGTCTTTTTAGTGACTAAGGCCGACATGTTCCTTAGACACAGCTGTTAATTAATAGCCCATACAGCTAATGGCAACTAAGGGACCTACAGTTTATTGTGGAATCCGAACCACATTATTTCCTCGTAATTAACGAATTGGTCTAATTATCAGGATAGTACTGCGGATAGTCGTAGTACTCACTAGTGCAGACGTTAATCCACACCAGGGAGCATCGCATCCACAGTGCATCCCTATAATTATCCACAATTCGTTTGTTGTTTCTTCACAATTGATGTTCCTGCCGTGGGGGTTTTTAGACTTTAAAAAGTTGACCTTGAGCACAGTTACTTTACATTACATATTATTTATCAGTATCTAATACCATATCTTTTATATAGCCAAGCCGGCTTATCCTATCGTGGTTCAATTTATGTAGAAAGACTAAGGTTCCTATCTATAACTGAACACATTTTGACAATTTATTTTGTACGTGATAAAGGAAACAACGATATCAGAGTAAAATCTTACATATTTTATTGATGTAAAATATCTCACAGGTGATGACTAGAATCATTTTTGTTCAAGTTTCAATTTCTTTGGTTTAATACTGTTGCATATTCATCTAATCAAAGAGACCTGAAACAAACAAAGAGAGAGTTTTTAATATGAAATTCTTCAGGTTATTGCAATTAATAGCTGAGAAAGCCTCTCATACAGTACAGTAATAACTGGAGCAAAAAAGAACACAAGACATGATATAGGCCTACACTATTAAATGAACATGAAAATGTTATTAGTGGAAGCTGGTTTAAATTATTTTGTATATAGTCTACTTGTATTAGAGAATAGAATAGTTTAAGTAGGCCTATAGACCTGGCCATATATATAAATGCTGTAACAGAAGAGACGTTTTCTTTTATTTCATTCTCATTACAGCTAATTGGTTTCTTTGCAACATTTTTGGTACATATCTTTTTGCAATAAAAATTTTATCCATCATAAAACCACCTCTATCTGCCATTGGCAATTAATTAAATATAATAACCATGCTTAGAAAGGATTTGAACAAATGAATAAAAAAGTTCTAACCAAAGCCCATGTCGTCATCAGATTCATTTTCACTTTCCTCTTTCTTCTTCTCCTCTTTCTTTTCGGCAGCAGGAGCAGCAGCTGCTTCAGCCACTACGGGAGCGGCTGAAAGTAGGTAAAAGTTAATTTTAATTATTGATATGAAAAATAAGGCGCTAATTCACTCACCAAAATGTTGTTCTTCTGACTATTTACTTGCATTGTTTCAAGTAACCTTTAGTATTTGGAAACAAATTTTTAATTACAGTAATGGTGAAACTAAAACCGTAATTACTACAGATCAAGGTAATATCACTTTAAAGCCTGGTTCTAAATGTTATTTCAGTTCCTAGAGTGCTGACTAAGTGGTAAGGGTGTAGTGTTGCGTTGAACACACACAAACGAAATGGCTGTGTTGCTAGCCTTAGGCCTAATCTTAGCGTATCAGACTTATGTGGGAGAAGAATACTTTAGGTCTAATACTTTATCCTGAAATGGTGACCATGTATTCTCTCTGGCATAACTTTGATAGATTATGACCTCATTGGTTAAACATTGTTATTTATTTATTTCTTTTTAGCGAATTTCCCATATAGGGAATAAGCTATTACCGTAGTACTCATGGTAAGACCTGGACCCGGGACCGATTTAATTTTTTGTTTTGAGGTCTCTAGAGGCCAAAAACACCATCCGTTCAAATTGATATATATATATATATGTCCGTTAGTGCGATAACTCAAGCAAAAATGATCTGATTTTGATTAAATTTGGTACAAACGTGTTAACCTACGTTTATTCGAACGAGTTTGCAAACCAGCATAATCGGACCATGGGAACGGGGGTTTATGGGGGGTTTTATGGGGTAAAAATGGGTTTTTCCCATTTTTGGCCCTAAAAACAAAAAAAAATTAGCAATTTCTTTTTAAACATTGACTACTATTGACGTAAGGTCAAAAAAAACTTTTTACCTTCCCCGTAGCAGCAAACCTAAGCACTCGTTCAATCTAATGTTATTTAAATTGGGAATAAATATGTCTTATTTATGGAAATATTTGAGTAAATGTAATCAGACAAGTTGAAATTCCCTTAGTCTGCAGGTTTGCTGCGGCGGGGATATTTTTTCTTATTAGTACCACATTGTTATTAATCAATTTGTAAATTTCTGCAATAATCGATCTTAGTGATATTTACAATTTGGCTTTAATAAATTTTATCTGAGAAGATGACAATAAATTTATAAATTGCACATTACTAACTTATTGCTATTTAAACGTGAGGTTGTGTTCAGTTTTTTGCTGTTTATGCATCAGTTACTCTAAAATGAAAGAATTTAATGAAAGCATTATTCCTACGAAGTATCAGATTAATACAAATTAAATTTACACTTTTTGTTTGATAACTTTTTTTTGTAGATACAATATAAATATATAACATTTATCGCTTCCAGGAGTGCTAGATTCAGATGTTCTTTTCACAGGGGATTCCTGCAAGTGATAGGGTTGGATATTAAAGTTTAACCTGTTTGCTTCCCATACAAAACTTATTAAGTTTTTCCATATTCTTACAGCTAACCTGTAAATAATGGAATAAACTCCATGCCTACCTCCCCCAGCGACTGGAGGTCCAGCCCCTACTCCTGAACCAACGTTGGTGATGAGTTCTTTGGGGTTGATGCCTTCCAGTGCTTTGGCAAACAATCCTGGCCAGTAGGGTTCAACCTCCACTCCTGCTGCTTTCAGGATGGTCTGGATCTTCTCACCCTACAAAGCAGTTGTTTAACTAAGGCTACTTGTGACTGCTTAAGTAATGATCTTTTATGAAGATTGATTAGGTTAGACCAAGGAACAAGTTCCAGGAGCCCGGTGGCTCAGTAAAGCGTAAACTGTGTTTAAAATGCTAACAGAGGTGATGTGGGTAAATTTGATAATGGTGCCATCATATCATAAAATTCCATTCATTCAACAAAAATTATAACCTAGCTAAGTAATAACTTACCGGTACTGTTTGCAAAGTAGTAAGTTACTAAACTGGAGCCTAGCGTCCTAGGAAGGAAGTAAAGTAGGACGCAAATGTTTAAAAATACAATTGGCTAAGTTATTGACATGCTATAGGCAAGGGTACACCAATGTGATTTTTGGTAATTTTCAAACCCCGCTTTAGCAGTTTCACCAGCCTATTGGATAACATGGTACTGATACCTACATAATTCAAGAGGAAAGAACACTCTGTTTCAGTGAAGAGCAAAGAGGAGATTTATTAGGCAGGCAATTCAAATTAAGACTAATTAATAATCCAAAATACTTACAGTAACAGCAACATCATCGTCAATAAGAATCAGAGCAGAATACACACATGCTAATTCAGCTTTGGTACTCATTTCGATTGTGGTTAATTGATTTCTTGTACTAATAATAGCGCAAGTCGCCAACAGGCCTTAGCTCTAATTTGAGAACAAGCACTTTTATTAATGTCCACCACTTTCACTTACTGCCACTGGACAACGCCGAACGCCAAAAGCATCAAACAGCAGACGAAATTTTCACAAAAGTCAGCCAGCAATCAGGTGATATGAAATATGAAATGAAAAGAGTAAGAACGTCCTAAACATGGAATCAGTACAACCAACCACAACCAACGCAATAAATCTTGAAATATATTTCGAAACTTATTTATCAGTTTTCGGCTTAAAAAAAAAACCTTTGTAAAATCTAATGTCAGGTCAATCTTTGTATAAAACCTCCACTTTCTACCTGATCAATCCATATTTCAATTGAATAATTAAATTTAATTAAATTATCGTATCATACTCTGTTTATATAGTTTGCTCTATATTCCAGTTTTTTGTGGTCTGTCAATGGCCATTATTTGTCTACACTGAGCTAGAAATGGAGCTAGAAATACAACTGGAGACTGGAGGTAGCTTTGACACTGCAACTCTGTAGAAAATTGAGACGCTGTAATCTATATTTTTGTTACGTTGGGCTCCACTGCTAGAGCTAGAGATACATATCTGAAGGTAGCAGAATGGTAACTCTTAATGAGAGAAATAGAGAAATGCAAGTCTGGCCGTCATTTTCGCTAGGGGAGTAAGTGTGTTGCACCCATATTATCATTGCACCATAGATAAAACATACTCATTGCACCTAGTATGCATATATTTCAACTAGGGGATTGTACATATACATAAATCCAAGCCATAAACCAATTTCGCTAGTTGGTACCAGCTTAACAAAATTTACAGCGTCTCGATTTTCTAGCGGAATTGTCGTTGTCTGTGCTGGGCTAACACAGCTATATCCAGTACCGGCGCGGCGTGAAGCTGGCCCCACCCAAAACAGCACTAATTACAAAAAAACCTATTACAAAAAAAATAGTGCTACCCCAAATAGCACACATCGTTGGCCCAACGTTGGGAAATGGTCGGCATGGTTGCGAAATGGTTGGCAGAAATTTTAACGATTTGCCAACGGAAACATGTATTCGTTGGCCCTACGAAGGAAAGAATCGTTGGGACTTCGTTGGGTTTAAGTATAAAACATTCTAAAACGCATTTTAACAAATTGATTTATTTAAAAGAACATAAATGTTATGGCAGCAATACAAGAATACAGGACAAATATTGTAAAAATTTGGATCTATAATGTAGTCAGAAGATGTTGTGTTACTAGATACAGTGGGGAACACCTGCATAATAATTCCATTTTATTTACAATATTCTTTAACTTATTTGAGAAAATATTTAATAGTTACAGTATAGGGGAAAGATTAATTAATTATATAAGAATCAATTATAACAGTACCTACTAATCTATGGTAATCAAATAAATCTATATTCAAATACTAGTATCCTGTCCAACTACCAGAAAAACAATTCAACTACTTGAGGCCTAACCAGATTAACATATTCATATTACACTGTAGTATCAAAACTATTTTAAGTATTGTGACCATTGCAACTGTCGGCTACTCTTTGACCACTTGAAAACGCTCATGATCAACAAGCACAGATAGCTCAGAGGTAAGGTGTGAAGATCACAAGGCGAAGGTTCCGGGTTCGAAACCCGTTTGGGTCAAATAATTTTATTTAGTTTTTTTTTCAAAATTAGTTTTTATGAACTATTTAATCAATTTACTCAACTGATAATTATGCTTTTCATACTAAATCTTTATTATTTTGTGTTTTTTATGTTTGGGCCCAATGAGATGGTTGGCCCTTCCGAAGAAATTGGTTGGTTGGCCAACCGTAAGACTTGGTGCCAAAACATAACGTTGGCCAACGATCGACAGAAACATTGGGCCAGCGATTTTCCAAAGATTTTTGGTACTTGAGACCTAACGTTACAAATAAAAAAAAATAGAGCTCATCAGGTAAATGGATAAATGGTGATGATTTGTGGGTGGGGCCAGCTTCACGTTTTGCCCCACCCACAAAAATAATTAAAATAACATAATTATATACACTTACCAGAAACCTCCAGTTCCAGTTGTATATTTCTAGCTCAGTGATGGCTATTGGCTCTATGTCACAGCATGTACAAGTAAAACCCCAAACTCCGAAATTACCGTAGTTAAAAAAATGTACTACTGTTGTATGTACATTGTACTTTACCCTCTACAGTAGTAGTGCAAATAAGACGGCCAGGGCCAACGTCCAACGTCTCGCGCAATTCTCTCGTTCAGAGCAGAGCACGATTGCTAGAAAAATACCGGTATGGATCATAAACATAAACAAATGACGTTGTTGGTCCGAATCCTATACTAATAGCATTGAACATATGTTTTGGCAGTTCCATTTAAGCAATGTTAAAATAATAATGTTTATTTTTGGGCCAAAAACGTCATTTGTTTATGTTTACGATCCATACCGGTATTTTTCTAGTAATCGTGGAGCAGAGCTACCTTTTTGTATCTCCCTCCATTCCACTCCATCCTCCTGTAGCTCAGCCTCAATGCAGTGCGTCTAGTGTGAGTGAAGTCAACACAAAATAAACACAAACGTCAAAAACACGTAGTCTAGGATCTTTCTTTCGTTTATTTTATAATAAATAATCTGTCTGTTGCTGTTGTGGAACCCTTAGCCTGTTGTTATTGTTATTGTGTCAACGTCAACGTGTATTATATTATGTCAATGAGTCATCAATGAAGAATAGGCTTTCTTACAATACACACACACTCATTTGAAACTTGGATAGGAAATTTTAAAAGTTCAAATCTTTAGAGTATCAATTTTAAACTTCCTGCAGGGTTTCAGAAACCAAGGTTAAGTTAGCCCTTCATAATCATAAGATACATTTTTTTAAAGCTTAACAATGTCTTCAGATACTCTGACAGTACAGGTCAGTATTTTCTCCTAATTTTAAGTCTGTAACTTATTCATAAAACCAATTAACTAGTTAATTAGTTAGTTAAGTTATAATGAAGATTGATGATAATGATGGCCTTGATGGTTGGAAACCTTAAGGTTTTGTTTAGCCCTTCTATTTATTTGATACATTTTTGGTTTTAAAAGCAGTTACAGTTTAAGTTATCCCTTTAACTAGTTAGCCTACCTTACTTCGTCAATCCTAGAATGGTCTCGGTGACTTGTTTCGAAACAGTTTAATTTTCAAGCCTCTTGTCGGCTTGCATAAAATAAATTATTTGAACAAATTTCATTACTTATTGTCGTCAATACACAAAAATATAACATTTAATGTAATACATAAACACAGATAAGTTTCCATAAAATAATTCATGGCCAGCCATAACACATACTGATGCCCAGGGAGGGGTGAAACAGCTGATTATGAGTGCCTTGTTATCTATGTCCTTGATAAGAAGCCTTTATCTAAAGCAATAATAAAGCTTTAATAAAAGCATTTATGTAAAATTGGAAAAAGTAGAGTTCTCCAGTACACCACTGGGAATAATGTAAAGAAAATGTAGGAAAATGTTTAAAATTAAATTAAAAACCGATTTTTAAGCTCTTTGCACCTAAATTGGCTTTGACAATCTATATTTTTTACATTGTTTTAATAGGCCTAGGCTATATGAAAGCTGACTTTGTCCTGCTGTGGCCTCTGGAATAGTGTGAATTGGTGAAATTTTATGTTTTTACTGCATAATGTGAAAAAATGTGGTTTACCTGGTGGGTTTTCTAGGAGGTGGGGATGCCCATTGTCACTAGTTTAGCCTTAGCCTAAGTCTTCCTCTGCTGGTCTTCAAGTGCTAGTTAAGTTAAAGTTAAGTTAACTTTAACAGTTAATAAACTGTTAACTTTATTATAGTACTCAAGCCCGCCAATATAATTTTCTTGTAATACTGCTGTTATTGCGCTATTGTTAACCCTTTGCGCCTTCGAACCTTAACAAATGTGTTACAGTCTAACCTTGATATAACGAACCTCAATATAACGAATTCCTTGATATAACGAATTTTTTTAAATCCCCTAGAACTCTCCATAAGACACAATGTATATTTTACCTCTACATAACAAACAAACCATATCAACGACCTTGATTTAATAAATTTTTCATGATCCCAGATAAAAATAAGACACCTCAATATAACGAATTTATCATTGTCAGAACCTCTAGGCTACATAGCGAATTTAACCTCTACTTAACGAATTGTCTGCGTCTCTCCCTCGATACAACGAATCCCCCCCCAACCCCCATTATTGTCTTTGAAAAATCAGTTTCTTCATAAAATGAAATGGAAAGGTGACGTCAACGCTTGCGCTAACATTCGTCTGCTCCGTTTTACACATCCCGGCCCGTCTGCTGTCATCGCTGCATTCGCGCTATATGTTACAACTGAGAACTGAACTGATTTCATTCAATGAGGACTGATGACGACGTAATGTGTAGTAAGCTGTGATTGGGTGATAAGTAAATATGGTGAATTGTACAATTTTTGGATGAAGAGAAACCTTAGAAAGAAAAAAGAATAGAAGAACAAAGCAAAGAGAAAGAATAGCAACATCATTACCTTAACATTCCTTTTACAAGTGTTTTTATTATCTTTAAGTTGGCTATGATTATACACTTTTATAACGACTTATCTAATATTTTTATTATTTTCAATATGATTTGTTTAAACTAAGGCAACACCAATGCTATAGTGATGATTATTACAGTACTGACATTCCTCTGTTGTGATTTAAAGCAGTACTGTAGCCTACCGACCTATCACGGGCAGTAGCTTACAAAACTCTAAACTGTTTCGTTTTGTTCTTTACGTGGTTTATTGCTATAAAATACAGTGTTTGGCTAGGTTTTAGGTGGGTTAGAGTAAGCTGTGATTTTAAACATACAGTTTGTAACCGTAACCTTTACCAAGGTCAATAACTAGAAATGGCATGATTGCGCAATGTTAAAGATCCCTTCCCTTTAGTACCCCGGATAATCGAGGTTCTACTTTAAAATGTAAACACTGTTCACTGTAAAGTATTGTAGCCTATGCTACTTTAATTGTGTTTTAATGAGGCCATTGAGATCCAATCCCGACCTATATTGACTGATGCTGGTTCTGAACCTCGACTTAGCGAAATTCCTGCAAACCTAACCTCAATATAACGAACCTCGTTTTAACAAAATCCTTGATATAACGAATATTTAGTTCGGTCCCTTCAGATTCGTTATACCGAGGTTGGACTGTAATAAGAAGATTATGTATGATCTAAATATCCGGTTAAAATGCAACCCTATGTATTATTATCCATAGAATAGGATATATTAAAGCTAGACCCTGCCTGGAAACATTGAATCATACTTTCATTTTAGGTGCCGGCAGATGATTCTTCTGCCCCTCCGTTTGCAAAACCAAAAAGAGTTCCTCGTCGTGTTTTACACTTCTCCGACGGGACTCTGGAAGAATATAGTACTGATGAGGAAGATGGTGTTGAACCCAAAATTGTGCAACAAAATGCTCAACAATTGTCAAGTGTTGATCCTGTAAGTCCAGATATTAACTAGAGATAGGAATAGTCTCACACATGTTGAGCCTCTTAAGAGACTTGTTGATAAAGAACACAATTAGGTTATCAAACTAATTTTTTTTTCCTAGCATAACTTAAATTCCCAAAGTGTAAACCTTGAAATTGTCAATTGGACGTGCAATGATGATGAAAATTTTGTATTAGTACAAAGGCAACTCTTTATTGGTTAATTTATAGTGTTTCAACTGTGGCTGTTCACAGTAAAAAGTGTCTACAATTTTGTTTTGGCCTATTTTTTAATGTTAGTGGAACTGTACTGCTGTTTTCACAAGCTCGTTTTGAATTACAATTGGCTACACTAAAATTCAGAAAACTAATAATATTCTCCACCTAAAGTTATGGATGAATGATTAAAAAAAACGTCTTTTGTATTAAACTGAATGTTTAACATTATACTTTTGTTATATTTACATTTATATATATGATGTCTCCGCAAGCCATCAACCTATAAATATTAAAAGGTCATACAAGGTAGAGTTAAATTATCGTGGATTGTGTAGAAAACATTGGCGTGGATGCCTTGGTTCTGGTACCAAACTGTGGTGGCCGGCTCTAAGACCCTAGAGGTTTGTGATTATCTCGGAGAATCCTTAGCCAGCTTCTTCGGTATCACAACGCCCAAATACCAGTTTGAAATCGACCACTACCAGCAAATGTTGGCTGAAGTAAGTATGCATCTTCATAATAAATATTAAATAGGTTTTTTATTGTTGATTTACAGTTTGATAGAGGAAGTTATCTTCGACGGTTTATTGAAGACATTCAATCCCATGTTAAACTTGTCGCCATTCTTAAAAATCAAAATGGATGTAGTTGAGTTAAGCCACTTACTGATGTAAATTTTCTAGTTTCCGTTTAAAAGCTTCAAATCATTGACCAAAGGTTATTGTTGCTAGTGACCACCTGTTTTATTCTTTATAGTAGTAGTAAATCCTACTTATAATATTATAAATGAGAAAGTTTGGATGTATGGATGTATGGATGTATGGATGTATGGATGTATGTTTGTGACAAGTGAATGCGAAAAATACTGGTCGGATTGGGCTGAAATTTGGCATGATGATAGCTCACATTCCCGATTAACATATAGGCATATTCTTATTTCAAAAATCCTTTCGGGCTCCGCCCCAGTGGCCTTGGAGTTTCCCATGTTAACCTTATGAGAAATGGAATTATTGAATCTTAACAGCTGTTTCAATTAACCCTAGGAGTGGCCAATGTTAGAAGTGGGGAATGGCCAACCCATTTTGGCGATTTTGCAGACCTTTTTTTGAAAATTCGTAAAAACTCAACCGTACAAGTAAACCTAGCCAACCTCATATTCATTTTGTTCGGAAAGAACAGGAGAATCTAGAAATAGTAATATCATAATGATTTAGACAGTGTATTTTATCGGTACAGTGAAAAAAAATAAAAAATTTGAATTTTTTTTTTTGAAATTTCAAAAGCGGCCTTGGTATTTTTTTTCTACGGATTTTTTTATGGGAAATTCATTATATACATTTTGTAGACAATCTAATTCCCTACATAGAAATATATAACATGTTAGGAAAATATTTTTTTTTTATAAGTTTTTGGGGCGAAATATAATGACAAACGGAGAACCGAAAAAATTGAAAACCGTACAGTGTTAGTTTATGTTGTAAAAAGTTCTATAATATATGTGTATACTAATAATGATATATACATGTTTGTAAAGCTAATGAAGTAAGGAATCAAAAAAAGTCATAAAGTTTATGGTAAAAATAATTTTTTACCTATAAACATACGCATATATAATAATGTTTTTATATTTTAGCGATTTCTCGAGAAAAAAAATTCACAGTACTTAGTATACAACTTTTGTACCAATTTTTTTACTTCAAACCAACATAATAATCTTGTAGTGTATTCAATTACCTACATAAAAATGTATAACATGTTAGAAATATTTTTGTTGTAGGTACGTAATAGGGACATAATAATACAATAACCGCAAAACCGCAAATAAGTGTAAACTATAGCCTACAGTGTTTGCTTGTGTTGTGAAACATTATATAGGCTGATGATATGTAGCCTACATATTTGTAAAGCTAATGAAGTAAAGAATCCAAAAAAGTCATAAGTATGATGGTAAAAAGTTATTTTCACCTATGATTATGTATCAATTTGAGAACGTTTTGAATTTTTTGCGCATTTCGAGAAAATGGAGTGTACAGTATTTAGTAGCCTATATAATTTTTTTTACCAAATTTTTACACCCAAACCAATATAAACATGTTGTAGTGTATTCATTTACCTTTATAAAAATGTATAACACCTTGGGTAAATCATTATATAGCATATATAGCACCTCTGAATGTCAGAATCGTCATTTTTGGACATGATGCTAACAAAATACAGTAGTAGGCCTAGGCCTATTTAGTATAGGCTATAACTTTTTTACAAAATTTTTTACCCCCAAACCATTATAAACATGTTGTAGTGTATTCATTTACCTTTATAAAAATGTATAACACCTTGGGTATATCATTATATAGGTACAACAATCTCTGAATGTCAGAATCGTCATTTTAGGACATGATGCTAACAAAATACAACCTTTTATGAACACTATTTCACACAATTCAGTAATATTTATGCATGAAGATTACTGTTATACACACACACAACACTTCACTAACACTAACACTACGAACTAATAACATATTTAGTAATAAATCGCGGATAAAACTATTACTGGCAACAACACAATACACAAACAAACAATGGCAATACAAGACAGCTGACAGACTGTAGCAGTAATGACTCACTTGTCGTCTACATGCGAGCATACAGAAATAACCCTGAGTGCAGGGCTGCCACTCTATGAATCTAAATTTCTTCCTCTTCAAAATGATATACTATATGGCTAGTAATAATAACTTTCACTGTATATAATTCGTATTTTCCATACTGTCACCAGACGACTGTTGGCCATTTGTAAGACATTTCTAAAACAGCTGTTTTCATAAAATCGTAACGATTGTGCAATCAATATTTAGTTATAAATATCACTACCACAATGAAGATAAAATCAATGGCTATCCAGTGGTACCACCCGCAACATCCCAAGACGAAAATTACCCGAGCAGGGTAATGCCAAACAAGACGTGTTTTGCCAGTTCCCAAGTGTCGGCTGCAAAAGTCGTGCCGCGCCAAAATTTCAATTGATTTCTAATCGTCGTGACATTGTTATATACCTGCTACAGGGTTTGTTTATGTAATCAAATGAAAGTTCAGAATGTGATCTTTCGAATGGTATATATATTATTCTCATCTGAGTTGATTGTAAGTGTTTTTTTTACCGTTAACAAAATTTCGGCCCATACCGTCACCAGACGACTTTGGCCATTCTAAGCATCAACGTCATACCGTCACCAGACGACAGTTGGCCACTGCTAGGGTTAAACAAGTTGGTTCTGTTCTATGATGTTCAATAGCATTAAAGTTACAAGGATTACCAACAGGGTGCAGCACTATTATTTCTTTTATATTTATGACAACAGCTAATTTGCAACCAAAAGGTGAGTGAGCGTAGCGAACGAACTTCAACCTGGAGGCGAGTTAGCGTAGCGAACGAGTTAACCTGAGGGCAAGTGAGCGCAGCGAACGAGCTCCAACCTAAAGGTGAGTGAGCGTAGCGAACAAACTTCAACCAGGACGTGATTGAGCCATGCGAACGAGATAATCTTGAAAATTAAGAAGTTAAACGGGGCAAAGCCCGCGGGTTACAGCTAGTTTCCCATAAAGGGAACAATTTATTACTGTAGGTAATAGGTATCATTGAAAAACCTGGGCCTGATATTGCTTTTTTTAATGAAGATGTTTAATAGTAAAATTTTGAATGTTAAATAAAAGTGCTGTTACCATTAAATCATAAAATGAGCAGTTTTTGTGTGAATAAAAATGGCTGCTATTTTGAAAGCTAAAGATTGTGTTTGAATGATTATTTTTGTATCAGTTTATTGCTACCTAAAATTGTACAAGGTATCTTCAACAGCTTTAAATATATTATAATAATACCCGCCGCAGCAAACCTGCAGACTAAGCGAATTTCCATTTACCTGATTGGATTTTCAATTAAATCTATATAATTTTTAAATAGCATACCTAGATTTGCTGCTACAGGGAGGGTAAATACCCCCGCCGCAGCAAACCTGCAGACTAAGCGAATTTCCATTTGATTTACACTGAAATGTCTACTTAAAAATATAACATTTTTTCCCGATTTAAATAGAATTAGTTTAACAAGTACTTAGGTTTGCTGCATCAGGGAGGTAAAACTGTTTTTTTTTATGTTAATAGTTAGTAAGAAATAAAAACATTTTTCAAATTTGATCAAAATATGTTCATAAACAAGCAAACTACAACAGTTTACTTATTCTCCATAAGAATAACATGGGAATTTTAAATTTACAATTTTTTGGAATTTTCTCCGTAACCATTAGGCGCATAATAACGCTTCAATATACTAAATTATTTGTTTTTTTTAAGCTCTACAAAATGGTTTGGAAAGAAATTGCTAAATTTTATGTTTTTTTGGGTCAAAAATGCGAAAAACCTATTTTTACCCCATAAAACCCCCGTTCCCATGGTCCGATCATGCTGGATCGCGAACTCGTTCGAATAAACGTAGGTTTACACGTTTGCACCGAATTTCATCAAAATCGGATCATTTTTGCTCGAGTTATCGTGCTAACGAACACATATATATATATATATAAATATATATGAATTTGAACGGATGGTGTTTTTGGTCTCTAGGGACCTCGAAACGAAAAAAAAAAATCGGTCCCGCGTCCAGGTCTTACCATGAGTACCACGGTAATAGCTTATTCCCTATATGGGAAATTCGCTAAAAAAAGGCATAAATCTCACCAACAAGGTTTTTTAGAAAAAATTTTGTTCTTGGTTTTTTCCCATAACAAATATTTGTAAGGTTTTTGTACTTACCGTTTGTACCTTACCATAAAGCTTTAGTTCATAAGGGTACCGGCAAATACAACAAATCTATTGACAATTGAGAACTTTGAATTGAATGAATATATGGCATCAAGAGTGCTTATATATAATATATAATAACAAGTTACAGAAAAAAGTGTAGGCAAACATTTTTTCATTAAAAAATCATCCTTTCTCCTTATTCCTTCAGGAAGAAGAACTAAAGAAGAAACAAGATCTTGAGATGGGTGGATGGGTTGGTAAGAACACAGAAAATGGCGAGGAAGAAAATAAAGGAAGCATAACAAAGGCACCGTCAATCCAAAGGTACTAGTCTGCATAATCTATTGACTCTATGCAAAATACCATAAAGTACCTCTGGATATTGCAAAATGCACCAGTGTGTTTTTGTAGCCAGTATGGGGTTTTCAAATAAATACTAGTCGTCATATCATCCAGTCAATTACTTAAAATAGACAAATATTAGTTAACTATTTAAAACTCTTCAATTTTTCTCTAGAGAGTGTTTATTTTATACTTATAATCTGGAGTGTTCAAAAAGAATAAAATACCAAGTCTGTTATAATGCCTTAGAAGTTAATAAAAGACATATCAATATTTTTGTACTGGTAATTTGAGTAGTATGTTTAATGATTCAATGTGTTAAAAGCAAACTTTAATGTTAAATAACTTATTGTAAACTCTTCATCCCTTAACCCTCTGAGTGTCCCTTGTTTTGGCCTTAATGTCTGCCTATTTTTTGCTCATTTGCAAGGTTTTATTAAAGCGGATATGAGAAGCTTGAAAACAATGTTAATTATACTGTTCTATATACCATTTTGTTTGGAAAATCATGGGCTTCAATATTATACATAGAACATAAGGAACATTTGTTTCAAAAAAATTTTTAGGTAAAAAAAAATATTTTGGAACATAAAAAAAAAAAAAAAAAAGTTCGCGCTCAATGAAATTGTATAAATTATAGGCCTATAAATATTTGAAAATAGCCACTTTGTTCTAAATTTTATGAGGATTACAAATATATAATAATATAAGGAAGTAGATTTGCAAATAAATAGTTATGGGCAAAAAACAGATTTCAGTACATAGCGTTTAGCTAAGAATGCATAGCCTAACCATAGCTAGGAATCTGGCTGATAATTTACATCAATATCACTACCTACTTCTTCAGGATCATCAACCAGCCCTTCAAAATCACTTAAATCTTCTTATAATGCACCACGTATATCACTACTTTTGATTTTTAACACTAAAACAATGATAAACATAATAAAACACATCAGTCATCGGTCCGAGGTTAACCAAGCTGTTTACAAATACGCACGTCAGCTGTCTGCTACAATATTTTCAAAACTAAAATGAATAGCGCTTAGAGACAGACCTAGGGAGAAAGCTCTGAATCTGTCAAATAAAACGATACCTAACTCGATCCAGTTCAATCCGATTTTGTCAGTCATTCGGAGTCATTCGGAGTTTTTGTCAGTCATAAGCCTTCGCTGTAAACAGTGTTTGTGAGTCGCTGCAGCGACAAATAACACTCGGAGGGTTAAAAGAGCGTTGCAGTTAAAGTGGTTATCCTATAAGTAATTAAATATCCAGTAACAAATAAGAAGTTTGAATGCAATTTTGTAAGTAAAACTAAGGTAGGACTAGTGATTTTTTGATTTTTCTTCTCAACAACATAAATCTAAGTTTGTTAAAATACTATTGTTTAAATGGATTGACAGATCTTGTTTGGAGAAAATCCTGAACCCCGCATTAAGTTGGAAAATATTCATCCCGATAACAAACTCCACAATTTCGAGTCCTGTTCATCTTTAGTAACAACTCAAACTTAAAATAGTGGGTCTGTATAAATAAATGTGTTTTGTTTGCATTCTTTTACTATTTGTTTTTTTCTTTTGTGTTACTTTTATTCTGTTCTCATTATGATTTTTTTCATACAGGTTGACAGTATGAGTTTTGAAGAGATTCTTCATGGATTGTGATATTTTGTTCATAAAGCATTCTTTTACACGTCAATACTAACCATTGTAAGTTTTATTTATTTGCATTTTATTAATATTTATTTTTGTTATTATTATATTTATATTTTTCCAATTTTTATTCTATTATATATTAGTATGATTATAATATTATTTAAATTTAGACTCCTACAACCTTTGACTATTGATGAAACTAGACATTCTATCCCCATGTTAATGTTGTTGCCAGTTTTAAAATCTAATTTGCCTTGTTGATGTGAGCCACCGACAGATTGCGCTGATCTAAATTATGTTTTTTACAAAGTCAAACTGATGGACCGACTTTAAGAGTTATATCACACTGTTATGACCAACTATGTCAGCAACAAAAAATAAAAAAGGGATATAGAATTTTGGACACTATCACATTCTATGACTGGCTCACACAACTACATTCTTTTTAAGTAAAAAATTGGTGACCATTGATCCATAAAGATGGGATTTCTACTTCTGTATCCAATAGTATCAATGTATCAATGCTACAACCAAACCACTGATTTAGTTGTTTTATAAAGCACTATATATCCAGTGAAAATAAAAATTGTAAAACTAGAAACCTTTGTAGGTATGTATATTTTACAAGCTGTTATGTCAATTTGTATATCGTTAACGTATTTAGTATAAAACTGTATGTATAACGTTGCTTGATTATTTATATTCCAAGATGTAGTTAATGAGTAAGTAATTAAATGTTAGATTGAGCTAACAATGTTGAGCTTTTGTCTAACCCTCATCCATATGTAGGCATAACATAGGTAGGTGCTGACTATGCTTCTCATACATTATAGCTGAGTTTAGCACCCATAATCAACAGTAGTAACGCTTGTTTGGAGAAAACATTAGCTGTGGTTAATACCCATAATCTTCAGTAAGTAGTAAAATTGATTTTATGGAGAATAAGCTCTACTTGTTATTTTTGTTTGGAAATGAATGTTTGTCTCTATAATCGAAACCACACATCTATGCTTCTCTTTCTTTATATATAAAACAGCCAAGGAAATACAAGATCTAAAACATTTTTTTGAAAATTTAATTCAACAGTATATTACACGTTTTTTACAGTTACAATATCAGTAAATTTCATCCAACAAAAGTGCGTAACAAGTTTTTAAAATTTAACTTTGTTAACAATAAACTTACATATGATTGCTTAAAACTCCTGAGAAATGTATAGAACTATTTTACTGTACTTTATTGTAAAAAAAACTAAAATTCTTATTTAATTTTACGAAGTTGATGTGACCAGTTCAAACCACTGCCGTAAAGCATCACTCAATACAGAGGGAAGACTGTTGATGTCTCGTAAAATAAGGTAAAATGGGAACGGAAAACTGTCCATGTATGGTACGATACCCACCAGCTTTCCTCCGCTGAACTTGGGTAGTCTTATGTCCAGAATTGAGTCCTGAAACACATTACGGATTGACAAGAGGGTAATCCAAGCATAGTCATTTAAGTAAACTGCATCAGCATTAAAACACATGTCCGCTTCCAACATGTTAATACTTGCACTATCCCACAGGTCCTCTAATTAACAGTCGTTTCACACATATCAGTCCACATAAACACAATCATTGAAATACAAAAATATTATTTTCTAATCTCAAATACGTCCATCAGGCATCCAAACAATCGGTGGAAAGAAATCTGACACTGACTGACGGACGCCAGCAGAGCAACTGACGGACCTGCGTCGGAACTGCGCCAGAAGAGTGTAGATAATGCAATAGAAAATCCATTAAGGAATATTTTTGTGGACTGTGACGTGACTGATGTGACATGCCGTAACTGATACATGTGAATTGACCTTTATCAAACAATTCACAAAACACAACAAAACCAATTGCCTAAGTGATTATACTAGTTAATGTATAACAGTAGATTATACCATAGACTAGGCAACACAAGTAGACTCCTCATCTCATTGTAAATTTTGAAGCTTGTTTTTGTGTCTAGTTCATGTACGTCCACACTGATCGCTGGGGTAGACAACATTTTGTTTCTGTTATTTTAGGGTTATTTTCATGATTTGTGCTTTACTATTTGGTTATATAATTAGGAGACTAGTTATTGCTTAAGATTACATCGTTTTATTTGGTTAAATGAGGTTTTAAATGACTGAAATAACAAGAAACAAACTGTAAACAAAACATAACCTCTACAGTTGGACGTACAGAACTAACAATAAAATTGGCTTCAGCTGTTCCATAGGGATGACAAATCTACTAAGGGAGTATGATTTATCTATGATTATACCTTGCTTTGTGGGTTATCTACGATGACAAACACCATGAACACTCCAGAGTGCTTAGCCCTGCGGACCGCTTGTCTCACAACTTCTTCTCCGTCATTCATCACTCCTCGGCCGTCAGAGACTATCACCAACAGCTGGGCAATGTCCGTCACACCTAGAGAACATACGAGGAAAAATTCAAGAACTTCTGTTCTAATGCTTGCTACTTCAGTGTTTTCTGTTAATTGTAGTCAATGCCCTAACTACATATGATGTATAAATTAATTCCTCAAACACCATTCTGGTACAGACAATTTAGCGCTTTGAGGTTATAGTTTATTAGGAACTATATAGTACAAGGTTTTTGTAAAGACTGTTTTTTTTTTATTCTTTAATAGGTTCCTGAACTTAGTTGCAGACAGAAACTTTAAAATAAACACAAACACAAATGCAAAGCGGGTAAAAATAAACTGTTTTGTACAATTAAAATAAAAAAGTATCAATAAATTTTTTTTATAACATACAACAAATAATATCTCACACTTGATGAATAATTAATTCCAAATTAATGAAGTTTACATACCTCGTCGTGCCGGGACCTTCTCAAACAAACTGACAGCGAAGTTTACCAAAGCCCCAACCTGAGTCTTTTGCTGTTCAAACGAAAACTGTTGCAACAACCTGTAAAAATAATTTTGTTTACATGCTGTAATAAATACAACAATTAAAGATCTAGAACTAACATTCATAACTAGATAGTTCATTTTTTTTTTAGAAAAAGCACTTGGCTTAGAAACACATTATGATAGAAGAAATAGATGGACGAATAACTTACCCAAGAAAATATAGCAGCTAGCCTCTTTGTTCTTAAATTCCAAATCCTGGCCTAGAGCCTTACTCAAATAAAGGGTTTTCCGTCACACTACTCACTGAAGAATTTCTTCTTAAATTAGGAGTAATTCAGTATCAGTTTTACGTTTAGTGTTCTTTTACTGTGTATCTATTAGCCCCTGGACTCTAATTTTCTCAGGTAATCTGGCTGAGCTATATTCCTTTTCAAACAAATTCTAACCAGCCAAATTGCTTTCCTTTAAAATATTAATCAAGAAAATAAGGTTCCCGGTAATTGACACACACAAATTTCACAACACAATTTGATATTTTGTCCCTACAAGGGGACTTTGCAGAAGTAAGTAGGTATTTCATAAAACATTCAGATTATTTTAGAATTAATAAAAGTACCCATCTTTGAAAAGAATCTCACATTTTAAGCAATAAATTTTATTTCCTAGTTTTCATGTTCAACAACAATGATTTCTTAAAATCAACTTCTACAGTTGACAATCTCAACCACACAGTTTTAAACTCCATTGACACTAAGCCCTTTTGAAAGAAAAAAAATGTTCAATGCACCAACCTGGCACCAGAGTGCTCTGTGAACGGGTCGCCCAGCTGGTGAAGGACTTTAGGTGTCTCTCCAAAACTCAGGACTGCCAACTGTCCAGCCTCAAGTAGACTGAGGGCTTTGCTGACGACAGCCAACGACTCAAACGCCAACTGTCACAACCAGTATTCAGTCAATAAGATAAGAAATATTACAAACTCAAAAAGATCTGGAGAAGTTAAATAGCATTAGCTTCTGGATATCAGGAGCTTCCTGATGAAGGTACCTCGTTCAGTAACCAGATTTACCCTTTCTCACCCATTCACCCCTTCTCAAGTACCAGATTTAGGGTACTTGTGGTCAGCCAAATTTACTTGAACGGCCCCCGCCCCCCATAGCCCGAGCTTCCCCAAGTTTTGAATGTCTCCCACAATCATAGAGTTACCGTTATTGTCACCCAAAATCAAGCCAAAATATTTGGCCAGTCTTGATTTTTGATTTATTACGTTTTGGCAAATTACAGAATAGTTAGTTATCATTTTACTTTAAAAGATCTTATTTTAGCTCAAAAAGATTATTTCAAAGGGTTCTTAGAAAACCATTTTTTGCTACCTCGTTTCCCCTTTAAATGTATGATATGATTATAAATGCTACAAAACAGAGGTAATATTTTTACACCAGCTACAACACAACTTAGTATTACAGGTCTATAGGATTCCAGGGACTGTAACAAAGTAACACAATTCAATTTTTATATTTACAGCATAAACCAGTTTACAATATGAAGACTTAATTTAGTACTGTACAAGCATTTTTGCAATTGGGAAGATAACAGGTATACATTTCGTGACAAGATACAACGTGTTTTGTGATAATATCTACAGTGGGTTTGAGTATAGTATGTAGTGATATGCATTGATCAGTAGACAGGGGGTTTTCCGCAAGTATATTTTTATTTATATTTACAACTCTTTATTCTTGCATTACTATACGTTACTTACCTCTTTAGAGTGGTTGTCAGCCATGCTGGAAGAATCGTCAATAGCCAGGACAATCTGGTACTCTCTCTTGGCAGGCTTTGACCTCCTCAACCAGATCTTATCCTTGCGGAACTGACTAGCAATGTAGGGTATCACCTAGAATAATTTCCATAACTTTCTAAATAATGTACAATTTTACCAACGAGCTCGCTAAATTGTAATGTACCATTAACATTTAAATAACGCAGACTCAAATACTGTAATAAATTCAAACGTGTCCTGAGATCCAGATAATATTATTGTCAGAGTATGTTTGGTAATTGCTAAATCTTTTTTGAAGATACTGGAAGTTTTTAAAACACAGAGTTTTAAGAAAATGTGCTGTAGAAATGAATATGCTTAGCTTTGATACATAATTTAACAGACTGGCAGTACAAAAGGAATCATATTGAAGACTTTAAAAACCCAGAAAACAATTGTATCGCAAGCAATATTACTGTGTAAATTAATAATGGCCATTACAGGTGAAAAAATTGCCTAAAGCAAAAGGGGAAATTAGCACTACCAAAGCTATGAGCGTTTTTAAGTAAAATGTAAAAGAATAGCAAAAGAGGCAAAATCTCTGGTTGCCACTCTATAAAAAGTTGACATAAGGATAAGGATGTAATATACAGCACAAGGACCAAGGTTTTAGGATTCCTTTTACGATACGAAGCTTGCCTGGATGAGAAAGAGTGTTCTAGGAATGGACTAATTCAAATCAATGTAAGCCTGCTATAAAAAATATTCTTAAAAGTTATGTTCAAATTTTCCATTCAATTGAAACTATCTACTTAATGCTACCTTTCGCATGTTGATCCTACGCCCAGTACGGTAATCTCCCTGTAGCCGAGAGGCGTGAGTTGGCTCCAACACCAACCGCAGTTGTTCGCTCAGCTCGCGCGACAGGTCAGCCGTCACACCACACAGTCGCTCCCACGCGACCACTGCCTCTCCCGCAGCAGGCGGCTGCAAAGTAGCTTGTTAGTTTGTGATGAAAGTGTCAAGACAATAAGATTTATTGGAAACACTTTTCATAAGGAAATTTGAT